TGTGTTCATAGATTTTACAGTGATTGACCACCTTGAGGAATGTTCTTGGTGGAGCATAATGACTTGCATGTTGGTTACCACCACCATTCTTCAAATTAGATTACAGAGACAGGTGTATAATCTGTGTGTTATTGTAAGGATCCCTTTTGTACCCCTAAATAACTTATCATAGAAATCCTAATCAGTCCCTCCAGGAATCCTCGATCTTACGATCGCAAAAATTAATGCAAGTTCAACCAATCCCCACATCATTTGAGATAGTTTGATATTTTGTCCTATTCCTGCAATATTTCTGCAGAAAACGGTCAACTTGCAAAAAAAAAATTAATAGCATCCAATCCAGAGCCATTTTTTAAAAACCCCGGCCCGGCTCAATCAAATTAATTAACAAACCATTCGCGTGTTCAAATGTCTTGCTATAATTTCAAATTTCACATTCATATCAGAAACCCACTCTCGGTCCCATTTAAAAACAAAAATAACAGCCAAAGAACCATGCAAAACAATTCCCCAATGAGAGTACTTTTTTTGTACTCCATGCAATATTGTGTTGGAACACAAACGTAAATTATCAATTAACTGTCAGAGAAGGACGACTGAAACAACAAACCGGAAACAAACAACCGTGGCACAGGCTGCTGCGTTGATGTCCATTGCCAGTACCGGAAGAACGGTAGAAAAGTGAGTGAGAAATACTTTTTATGTAAATCATTCATTAATTCATTTCACGTAATTAGTTAGTTTAATTAGAAGTTAAAATATGAAATTAAATTATGCAGCAGACGTGTGTATGTCCATGTGTGCGCTTGTATATGAATTCATTAATTATTTTACCTAAATAGGCATACGTGTCGTTTATTTTTGTCACGCGCTCCTACTCTGTCCTGTTCCTAGCTTCCCTGTGCTTTGCTTGTCCTTCCGGTGTGTCTTTGTGTGGGGCTTTATACTTCCGGGTAACCCTTTGCTCCTGGCTCAGCATTGAGCTGAGTCTCCTCCACAGCCTGAGGGCTTAGGTTTCTACCCAACATCGTCTGACCCCCAAAGCCCAGGCTAACCTCCGTGTTGCCCCTTTTGCCGCTTCGCATAGGTCTTTATTGCTCTCCTGGCCATTCCACGGCATGTCCTTCCGACATCCGTGACAATCTTGTGCTTAAAATTGTGACGAATGGGTCTCCACCTGCACAGCTGCCAACATTCTGCTCTCAAAGAGCGATCATCCTGAAATTAGGACAGTTTTCAAGGAAAGGGGTGTCGATGAAGGTGCCATACCTGGTGCTCACCAGTTTCAAAAATAGAAAGAAATACTTTAGGGCAGTTGATGAGAAGGAAAAGGAATCACTGAAGGCACATCTTGGAGGGAAGCCTGCTGCTGTGATATTTGATGAGACTCCAGATGTAGAGGGGAGATGTGTGAGCATCCCTTTGGCACCACTGAAGAAGGATGAGTCTGGGAGGGTCTTGGCCTACCTTGCAGACACTGTTTCCATGGCTGTGGTAAAATGCCTTCAGGACTATAGCATTGCCAGTGTCATTGTGTTTGATACAGAAATGCAGTATACATGAAGAAAGCCTATACTGCAGCATTGCAGTCCTTATTCCCAAACTCAGTACACATAACTTGTATGACATACATACTTAATCTAATAGGTAGTGATTTCAGAAAACCATTTGATCATTTAAACACATTCAGATAATGATTATTGGTGAATTCTTCTGAAAATCACCTTTTTCATGTTGACATGCAGTTTTCTCATTTCCCCGCAATTGTACCGCAAAATAACACAATAAATGCCACAAACGGCATTGCAATTTTTGAAAAATGGAGCTGCAAATTCAGTCATTTTTTACCGCATTAATCACAAAAAAGTCTGCAAGATCATGGTAGGACTGCCTAATGTAAACAGTTTCTTTCTGCCAGAGAAGCTGAAAATTTTACACACATTGCTAGCTTGGGTAGATTTCAGTTTTCCCTGTACCATTTTATGTCTAATTCTTATTTTGGAGGAGCTTGACAAAACTATTGTGACTTTTTTCTTGCACATAAACTAATCTTCCAAACTCACTATTATATCAGAATCTGAACATATCTAAGTGTTTACCGTTACTTAAAATTGTTCAAACATGCACAAAATAGTCTGGTAATACTCATAATACCTGTTTCAGCCTAGCTTATATTATCTCTACAAATGCAGCTTTTTTAATGCGATAAATCCCTGAAATCCTCACCACAGACTTTGTATCACATATGAAAATAACATGGTACTAAAGTTATACAGGGCAATGTTGCCACAGACAATGTAATCGCATTTGACTGTGAAAAGTAATATTTGTTTATTTAATAAGGAAAGGAGATTTAAAATCTCAATAGAGAAATTACAATAAATTGTGGAACTGATGACACACATTATAACAGACAAAGGGGAGCAAATAAGTATATCTCTATTATTTGCCTATTGAAATATAATCCATAGGAAAATCAACAGAATGTACAGTAGCTGTTTTCTTCACTAATCTTAATTTATATTAGTAAACTAAATTCAGGTATACTGCAGTTAGTAAAATAGTAAACTACTCAGGTTTGCAGACGATCTTGAATTAGGAGGATTAGCTAACCCTATAGAAGCAGTAAATGAACGTTTTTACTAGCAAGGCCTTATTGTGAATGCTGTGTACAGTGTTGGTCAGCACATTAAAGAAAACACATTCTAGTTCTGGAAGCAGCCCAAAGACTTGCAATCTACATTAGATTTTTTTTTTTAATTCAGGGCTTAAAGGAATGTCTTATATTGACTGGCTGAAGGACTTGAACAATATTAGTCTTCAACGAAGAAGACAATGATACAAGTATTCAGAATCTCCCAAGGCATTGACACATTCAAGCAAACAGATGTCTTCTGAATGAACAGTTGAACATGAATCAGAAGGCACAAGTGGAAACTATACTATAAATGCATTTAAACTAAGAACATGAGACACCTCTTTACTTAAGGGTTGAGGGAGTATGGAACTTGCCGTACTATTAAAGCCGACACCCTGGCTTCTTTCAAAAAAAAGTTGGAAGAGATCCCTGGATGAATTACCAAGCAAGCTAGATGGGTCAAATGGCTTCCTCTCATCCGGAACTTTTCTCATGTTCTAAATAGAAACCCACCGAAGCCAAACTGGCAACACAGGGAAAGCTAAAGTACTTTGAAGTATATTTCACATAATGTTTTGGTGGGTTTAATAATTTCTATACCTCGAGCTCTCATGCATAAATCATTCTGAAACACGGAGAAGAAACTTCACTACTGCATGTGTCCTTTTGGCAACACATTTTTGGCAAAATGTTGTGCCAGCTTAATCAAATTCTTAGGGTTTTCCAAGGTTGTTCCTATTGTCTTTGGGACTATTCTGCAATTCACAAGGATAACCGCTGGACCTTGCAATCTGTTGTTTGGTTTCACATCCATTTTCTAACCACTTTACCGACTTCAGGGTTGCGAGAGAGCCAGAGCCTATCCCGGCAAGCAACGGGCGCAAGGCAGGATTCACCCTGGACGGGACACTTACACACCAACACACACATTCACACCAGGGAACATTTTCCCAGTAGGTCTTTAGACTGTGAGGAAACAGGAGCACCCAGAGGAAACCCTCCTGAACATGGGAAGATCAAATAAACTTCATAAGGCTTGCACTGATAGAATTGAACTCAAGGCTCCAGCTCCGCAAGGCAGCAATGCTCACCACTGCAATATTGTCATTTAAAAACATACTTATACATCATATAGCAATGCTTTTCAGTAGATATAAATTCTGTGGGTCATCACTGATGTATGACAATAAATGACCAAATCGGGAAAAAAAAAACTATTCAGCTCATGACATAGTACTATGCCAAACCCTTTTAACCTTTTGAAATATGTTCACGTCCGTATATGTACACATTTAAAAGTTATGATCCACAGTATATGAGTAAAACAAATCGAGTTCCATCTAGCGACTTTTTCTTTGATATAAAAAAAAAACATCTTGAGGCTTGTCTGAAAAATGGCAACAGGGGCTAACATCGCAGTTCTAACTTGACATAGCAACACCAAATACAACGGTTTCGCTAGCAAGTCCTAACAGGTAAAACGTCATCCATCATCTTAATGTCATAGAAAAAAAGGTAGTGTTTCTGACTCAAAAAATAATTCCTTATTTTTTACTTAGCATTCAAATATACAGTCCTGTCAGTGTTCTCCTAAACAGGTATTGCCTCTTCAGGACGACTGGGTTTTAACGGAAATTGACATCAAATTGTTCCTTCCCAACTCGCGCGCGTATGCAGCGCTCCACTCTTAACATATCTGGACTGAAACACAATACTTTCCACGTGGTTTTGGTTAATTTTATGAATCGGTAATTGACATCAACAACCAATTGCCGTGTAAAAGCTCTCATTTGTACTTAAGTAAGCAATGAATTAAATAAATCAACAATAACAATGCATAAAAAGACAATGAAATAGCAATACTCGGATGAAATACAGCACACAATGACACATTTTTAAAAACATACCGTATCTTCCAAAGCAACCAGAATGCAACAAGCTCTATGGAATCGATGATGGAACTGGATGCCAATAGTAACTACTGTATATGTTGTTATTTTGGAACTTTATCGTTTTCATGCTACAGTGAAATAAATGTGCATAATTTGAATATGCATTAGGAAGACATTTGGGAAGTTTTTAAATTTTACTCCAATTGTCAAAGACGCATCACCCTACTACATTATACTACAGCACGGGACTTCTAATGAAGTATAAACTCTATGTCGAGAGTTAAAACTGAAAGTAGATCTTTTCAATGCATAATAAATATGAGATCTTACATGGGACATACGGTATTGGAAAATGTAAACAATAAGAAAAGTCATACGATTAAATGAAACGATACTGACAGATAAGGCACTGCAATAAGACTAAAAAAAGTTGAATGAGATATACTGTATATTTAGAGAGTGATACTTGCTTGTTTTTATTGAGGTCATCGTCGAAGTCCTCGATGTCATTTCTTTCCTCTGGTCCTGCTGTTTGGGGATAGGAAGGCTCGTTCGGATTTTTCTTTTTGCGCCAAGAACCGAAAGTTTTCTTCTTTGTCTCGTTCGGACTAATGGGACAGGCGGCATCTCCGGATAAACTTATTTGTTTTCTTAACTGTTTTTCGTTGTGTTCTTCGTCATTTTCTGAGGATTTCGCCTTTTGAAAAATCTTCTTAAATTTGGAGCCGGTTGATTTACTCATTGTATAACTAAAAATTGAATTATAATGAGACAGTAAATTAAAGCTTAGACGAGAAGTCCCAAAAAGCTTTTATTGCTGTTTTAAAACAGCTCACTTAATCATACCCTGTACCGTAAGTGATAAGTAACAAGCAGTAAAAATACGCCTGGTGGTTTCCTTATATAGTGAAAACCAGTTTCATGCGAGCGCAGTTTCTTCCTGCCCCTGCAGCACCACGACAGTGTACAGGTGTGCTAAGGCAGGTATTCCAAAACAATAATATTCATTTCACAGCTATGCTGTCGACTCAGCCTTCCGGGATCTTAGTGATTTGCATAAATAGCCTCCGTACAGAATAAAGGCTTGGAGCTACAGTACGTTAGTAAGTGTGCAGTGCCACCGTATGTCCACAGAAAAGTAGAACAGCATTGTACCCGATATTGTGAGTCGCGGGTAATTAGAATTGTGCAACGTGCCATTTCGCAAAGATTAGGGTTCATGGGAATCTCCAGTATAGAAGTATTCATAAAAATTGAACATTCATTTTCCTTCCCTATAGATTTCTCCACTATGGATTACATTCCAGCAGCCATATCACCCTGCAACTCACAACTGGCAGCCCACTGAAGCTAAGCAGGTGTGAGCCTGGTCAGTACCTGGATGAGAAACCTCCTGGGAAAAACTAAGGTTGCTACTGGAAGAGGTATTAGTGGGGTCAGCAGGGGGCGCTCACCCTGCGCTCCATGTGGGTTCTAATGGCCCAGTATAGTGACGGGGACACTATACTGTAAACAGGCGCCGTCCTTCGGATGAGACGTAAAACCGAGGTCCTGACTCTCTGTGCTCATTAAAAATCCCAGGGCGTTTCTCGTAAAGAGTAGGGGTGTAACCCTGGCGTCCTGGCCAAATTTCCCATTGGCCCTTACCAATCATGGCCTCCTAATAATCCCCATCTATGAATAGGCTTCATTACTCTGCTCTCCTCCCCACTGATAGCTGATGTGTGGTGAGCGTTCTGGCGCACTATGGCTGCCGTCGCATCATCCAGGTGGATGCTGCACATTTGTGGTGGTGGAGGGGAGTCCCCATTACCTGTAAAGCGCTTTGAGTGGAGCGTCCAGAAAAGCGCTATATAAATGTAAGCAATTATTATTATTATTAGAGTCCTATGAAGGAATTCACCTTGACACCTGGAAGGTGGCTCAACAGGTACTCCTAGTTTGCTCCTTTTGCACGTTGATGCAGCTTCCCATTCAAATGTCTTCCCCAAACCCCCTCTGTGTCCCGTAATGTCCTTCTCCTCCTTTTGAGCTCCTTGCCATCTTTGCTTATTAAGCCCACATTTTAACTCATCACAGCAATTTGCTCCAAGTCCAGACTTTCCAACCATCTCCCGTTTCTCTTCCAATGCCCTCGCCACAATGTCATCCCGAAAAACATTCAGTCTGATTCATCTCAACACTTTTTCCTCTGGTTCTGGTACCATTCAGATTAACACTACAAGGGGTCTTCACCATGGTTCCAATGAACTATCGCTCTCTTATCTTTTGCATCAAAAACCGTATCAATCGACAGTACCATCAGAGTTGCAAATCATTTTGCAGCAAGCTGTCCCACACCATCTTCATTTCAATACCAGCCATGTCAGCTTCCAACATGCCAGACAATGACAGAGGTCAGCCTAGCAAGAGTGCTCACCACCATCCGAAGCCTCTGCAGAAACACCTCTACTGACCAACCAGCCAAGGGAGGGCAGTGTGAGGTAAAGTTGAGGATGCTTTACGGACAGAGTCCAATTCCAACCAGGTTTTCCTCTCATCAACCTCTGGACAGTATCTGTAACATGCAGTCTACACCAAGGCCTAGCATTTCAATGTCCTAGATACTGTACAGATTTTACAGATATATTGTAGAAAATTAACTCCCTTGATAAAAAAAAGACATAACATGTAATTGAATAAGTGGCAATAAACATCCACAGACACAGGACAACACATACAGAGAACTGTATATCAAACTGTATAAGTTAAACTAGAAATTTAAAATGGCAACATTTGGACTTAAAGTCCCTGCTTTAGAAATAGACTTAAGTGCTTATGTACACACTTCATTTTAATCTTCTAGACAAGGTGGGGAAGCAAACAGTTTTGGGATATATAGTTGAAAGTGTAGAATTTATATAAAGGAATATTATGTTAACATTGTACAGTGCACTGATCTAACCACCTCATAAGAGAGCTTTTTCCATTTCTGGAGTCTCTACACTGCACTCCAGCAATCTAACCCAATTTCAACAATCCGTCTGCTCTGTTACATGCTTTAGAATATTGTGTACAATTGTGATTGTGATATTGGAATTTTAAATGGCATAAAGAGATATTGCTATCCTGGAACTTGTCAAGAAAAGAGTGACCAGAAACATTTCTTGGTTTGAAGGAATGTCTTACACTGACAAACTAAAATAATTAATTTCTATTCATTTTGAACAGAAGCATACAGTAGTCACATTCAGCACAGTAGACTTCTTGTGAAATCCAGGTTTCTGTAAATATATAAAGATTTATTTCATGAAAACTCCCAAAATTTACAACAATGTGACACTTCATGTTTAGCTCTGCCACTCTCCATTTTCACTTCATATACAGAGAGTCATAGATAGGACTATTTTTGTTTTTCCTTCCTACAACTATGTGAACCCTATCTACCCAGTAAGATTTAATCTTGCCAAGTCCTTCCCTCTCATTAACAGTCGGGATAAGAACTCGGCCACTAGTCATTCCCATAAACTCTCCAGTCATAGACAGATTTCCCCCAGCTGCTTCTTTAGTTGCTGTTTTTTATGTGGTTTGACATGCTTCAATCATTCTCTTTTGCCAGTTTGTGACATGATCATTGTTAGTTAGTATTCCATTAACCTTTAGGTTAAACAGAAGGTTGATAGAGAGTCTTGGAGTTTTTCCAACAGGAGGTATTAAGGTGGGAATCTGCTTGATAGTGATAGTGCCCTTAGAGTCCTGTTGTAACAGTGTTCTGTTAAAGCCCATGTTGTTTTGTTCTAGGACTCCCTTATCTTTGTTTACAGCCTGTATTAAGAAATGATGCTGTGTTCTTCAAGTTCAAGTTTGAAGACTACAATTCATACAAGATCTTGGCCACCCAAGAAAAATATGACTGGTACTAGCAAAGAAATCTCAGTGTCTTTTACAACTGCACTATGGGAGCAGGCACTTCCTGTTTTAGTGCCTGCACTGGTGCAATCTCGGGGACTTCCATGGTGTAGTCATTGCCTGAGACCATATTTCCAAGAAATCCCACCTTTCTTTTCAATAGCTCACATTTACAAGGAGTAAGGTTGATACCATACCACTGGTATCTTTTGCAGTACAGCTCGGACATTGATTTTAGTGGTCTTACGGATCTAAGCCTGGTAGATGACATCTCTGAGACCTTCTTCCATGCCCCTCTGAAACTGCTGGAGCTGAGCCGAGTCTGAAAGGGATGCAAACCCATTTACAAAGTCCCCAGGGGTAATGTACCCTGTCAAAGGACGAGGAACCCCTGATGATATGCCATACCCTGGTCAAAGACTGAAACCCATGAGCTGCCACTTAAGAAATTTAACAAGTCCTACTCCTTGGGATAGGATGGCAATCTGGCATCGCTCTTCTATTTACAGAGCCCCAAGCTTCCTGTCACAGGAGCCAGTTCTAACTCCCATGAAGTGCGTCGTTCAAGACCCTATGCAGACTGTGTAATACGGAAACGACTGGAGAAGGACATCAGGTGAAGGTAGAGCAGGGTTAGGATGGGTTGACAGACAGGGAGCAGTGACTGTAGTGATCTGATGCACGGGGGGTGTGCAAAGTGTGAAAGCAACCAAGTCCAAGGAAGTCCAAAACAGGAAGTTGGGGCGCAGTCCATAATCCAAAGGCTGGGAGATCCATCCAAGATGAATACACTTAAAATCCCCGGGAAAGGGAACCGAGGCCGGTTACACAAAGAGCTAAAAACATAATGGGACCAGTTGCTCCAAGCCCCAGACCCTGATGGTCAGGATGCCGGGGAATAAGGTCTGCCCTCGGGCTACCTGCAAGCCCTGGGAATAGGCAAGTCTTGTGGCGTCCATCTTCCAATACTGAGGCAGGAACTGCAGAGACGCTAGGCTTGTGACCAAAAAACAAACAAGACACACCAGAGAATAGTAAAAACTAATCATAATAGAAAAGGGTAGGGGCGCCCTCTAGAGGAGGGGTGTGGAACGTAACACTTCCACCCTTTCTCCTTACACAAACCACAGGAGACGAACATGGAGACCTAGAGTGTGCTATCCACTCTGTGTAGCAGCTCTTGCAGGTACGCCTTCACTTCTTGGTACAGTGTCTTTGGAATTGACAAGAAGGTCTTCTAATAAGGTGGGGTACTTTTGATATTGTAATGAAATCGGGTTCGGTGAGGTCGAACACAGAGACTCACACTTGTGAAGTTAAAAACGGCGCTTTATTTCTTTCTCCGTCACCACCTGCCAGCCAGATCTCCCGCGCCCAGCCGAGAGGGAGACACAAGACAGCCCGCCAGAGAGAGCGAGCGAGCCAGAGAGGGAGAAAAGAGAGAGAGAGTAACACCCAGGGGTGCGGAACCAGGAAACTATTTACACGGAAAACGGGTGATCTCCCCAGACTGTACGCCCGTTTCAGTGTGGGACAGCTGCACTGGTCCTAAACCTCGACCTGACCGCTACCACTCCTGTCCTGCCCCTCACCGCGTACCCCAGCCGGGCGCTCTTCGGCCGCTGCCCGGGGCGAATGCGCTACAATAATATGCTTGTTAAGAGATGGAATGTAACCAACATCATTGCGATTGAAGGCAAAAGTCTCAAGCTCACCCCTTATAATCTGCTTTAACGCTTGCTCTTAAATATTAAATATAAGTGTTCCAGTTTCACTGGAAAGTCCCATTTCTGCTTACATTTGTTTTTACAGTGTGACAACATTCCTCACTTTCAGTTGTTGTTCTTGAGGCTTAGTCACCAAGAATGATTGTATTTCTGCTCTTCCTGTTGCCCCAGACTGTCTATGCAGTTAGTTAAACTATAACTGAATATGCTGGCAGTGAACTAAAATAACATCTGTTTAACCACTGAACGCTACAATTAAAAACAACACTATTTTGGTAGTGTGCGCCAGTGCGGTATACATCATGGAAATGGGGACTCCCCCCGTAGGAAAAGCACAAAAACTTCTGACTGACAGTGATGATGCATGAAATAGCAAACACATGTTCAAGATAATTAATTGTCTTCATATAATTAGACTATTAAAAGCTGAGCCACTATGAAACAGGTGTTCGCTGCAGTCTGAAGTCCGTAAACAAATCTCGCGATACTGTAACTTCTCTCGGGTCCTGGAAGACAGCCCCGCCCTCAGAGGGGCTGGTTGAGCAAGGCGGTGGTTCCGGGCTGTTGGAGTTGCCTGGGTTGGCGGACAGATCTGCCAATAATGTCTCGCAGTGTTTACAGTGAGCGGAGCTCTTGACTACAGTGGATACCCGGGCAACATCGCGGGAAGAAAAAGGAAGAAGTGGAGGTGGCTGGGCAGCTATAGAACCAGATTGTATGATTTAACTGCTTATTGGGGGATTTTATTGTTTTATTTCAATTATCAGTTGCGTTTGCTTATTTTTAAAAGACAAATCCTTAAACCGGCTTCATTTGTTTGAAATCCCTCTATGAAATCTAAGTTGTCACTTGAGATTTAGCTATCCTGTCAAAGCATACTGTAGATGCATTCATAAACACTGTTACTTGTAAAGGTGACTAACGAATGAATGTTATGATAGATTTTTTTAAAGTGTTGATACCATTTCGTTGTTTTTTTTTTGTTGGGGGCGAAATCAGAAATCGACACAACGCTGCTGGTCCAGGTCCTTGATTTTGAATGGGAGTAGGATTGGTATTGGAAGCGGATTATTTGAATATTATTTATAGTAATTTTCAAAAAGGTTAAATCCGCTTCCTATCCACAGTTGTGTAACTTAGGACTGATCTTGAAACACTCAACTTTTACTAAACTGTGCAACGTTCATAAATATTTTGACGTTATGTCTAGTTATTTACTGTGACGAAAAAAGCGTTGATTAACTAGTAGCAAACTTATTGTATTAGGCCTACGTGTAAATTGGTTTTCTTGCTTGCTATTTTTTATTGCTAAACTTATTAGTTTAAATCAGTTGTACACTGATCAGTACAGTATACTGTATACTCCCGTTTGTTGCACACAACAATATTTTTAAGGCAGACTATTTTAGACTTCTTTTTATAGGCGTATCATACATTAAAACGGTTTAATCAAACCCATCTTAAACAATTCTTTTATTGTAGGTAGTATTTAAAACCTGAAAGAGTTTAGTTACAGCTTGATTTCCCTTTATGAGCCAAATATCCCGTTGTAAGAACTGATCAAGTGAAACGGGAGTCAGGACTCCTGTGTTAACATCGCAGTTTTCTCCATTCCGAGCATTTGCAATACTGTTTTTCTGCAAAACGTGAAAATGAGACGTATTATATTTAGGTCCGCTCTTCAGTTGTTGAAAATGTGCTTAAATGGTGTAAAATTTAACTATAACTTAATAAGCCAGCGACGGATTCCCCCCAAAATGATTTTATTTACAGATTTAACTAATAATATGTGTAGCTGTATAACTGTTTTCATTGTGACAGTTGTTCTTTTTGTGCAATACATTTTTTCAGAGCTCTATGTGATCGAGTATTACACAAAAGGACTTGTCTTTTGAAATCATGTCTCGCCGATTTACAAAGGAAGAATTGGATGAACAGTTTGAACAGTTTCTAAAAGAGGTGGGTATGAGTTGAACACACTCATTTGAATATTTCTTAAGGTCTCCGTCACATAAATATAAAATGTTGAAAAATCGCCAATAAAGGCTAGTTTCCGTTTTTGGAGTTGTGTAGTTAATTTGGAGTAGTAATGATTAATTGGATTTGGATAATCCCCCCCAAATACAACTGTTTTTTTAGGAGATTGCATCTATTGACTATTGACTATTGGCATACAACAGTATTGCACAGCTCTTCGTGCTTGTACCAGCAGGAGTAAAACCTTTCAAGACAATTTCAGAGGAGCCACAGCCAGCATGTTTGCATTTATGGATTTTGTGTCATTTAACCACACAAACACCTGTGCAAACTTTATTTCACAATCTAATGTGGAAAAGCAGGGAGGCCAGATTGTGTAAGCCCAGAGTTGTTGTTTTTTAACATTTATACCCCTACCCTTATGAATCCATATCCATAGGATCTTTAATTACAAAATAGGTAATTAAAAGCCTATCAGGGCCCCATTGTAATGTCTCTTCAGAAGGAGGTCACTTCCTTAAGCAGGGGGAGTGCTGTCTGTGGTATTAGTTTAGAAATCCAGTCCTAAAGGGAAGAGTGCCATCTATAGGCCCACTAAAACTACTCACAGCAGCTGTCTGGTATGCTTTAAACCTCCCATTGCCGCAGGCCTGTGATTTCAGGATATTTGAAAGATCATATCCGTCACAATCAGCTTCAGAATCTTGAAAATAAACCTGAAGGTGCCTGTGATTGGAAGAAACAGGTTGTACAGGACAACACGTGCACATACTGTATAGTCCTGTGTGTGGGGGAAAAAAAATGTGAATGTAACTGGAAATGGAGAACAAAAAGCAGCTTAACTGAGTGAACTTTACCTCCAGGTCTGTCTTTATAAAGTATTCAATCTGAGATGTGTTAAGCTAAAACAACTGCTTAAACATATCTTTTTCCATAACAGATGTTGCAATACGCTGGAAATGGTTAATTGAAATTAACAAAAATCAAACTGACATTTACATTTCCTATGGACTCTGTTCTCCTCAGTCTGTCTCTGACGATTCCATTGACCTGGGCAGCTCGCAACGGCCCAGTGTTTTAGACTCCCTTGGAAAAGCAGCCAAGAAAGAAACTGCAAACGCGCCTCCCAGACCCTGGTGGAACAGTGATGACGACGACAACGACGTCAGCTCTGGTAGAGGTAAGGAGAGCTCTCCACTACAGGCCGGGCTTACCTTCCCCAACAGAATAATGTGTTTGATGGCAATTTAACACAGTAGGTTTGGGTGTTTCACTTTTCTCTGAAGGGCGGCATTCAGGGCTTAGTTTTTTTAATGTTTGTCACCTGCAGTTATATATTTTTTTTTCCCCAACAACTTTTTAGTTCTTTTTTTAACGGATTCGAGATCTTTGGAGGAACTGCTGGTTTTGAAAGAAGAAGAATCTAATGCTTCACTCAGATAATGCTTAATGTTTTCCACACTATTTTCCCCCCCCCAGTTTATTTCTGTATGTGATTCAAGTTGGGTTTTTTTTGCTCGCGTTTGGTTTGAGAAGATGGAAGGTCTTCTCTGATATCTGAAAGAGAGGCAACTTGTAAAAGGTACAGGTCAGGGACTGCAACAACATATCCTTCTTCTAATCAATAAAAAAAAGCAACCAGATGATTTTAAGTTATGTGAGTACTGTTTCAGGATGTTGGATAGAACCTGTGGACATAAATATTCTGCCAATATCTCAGCTTTTTAATGTTGGGGTTCATTTTTATTTCTTGATCCCTTTTTAAAAAAGGACAGTCTCAGAAAGTCTCAAAATTACTTATTGAAAATTGTAATTTTACTGTATAGCAATATATTCTTAGGCATTTAATTATTATACATAATTGTTTTTATGCTGTGCTATTCAGCACAGAGCTGCTCATCATAAGCATTGTCAGAGTAGTCTCAGTGTGGACATACTAATGAGCACTCTCGGGGATCTGGCTGAGAACAACTGTGATAAAAAAACAAGTTGCAGGGTTCCGAAAAGATTAATATTATACATCGCCACCCATCATCACCAGTATTCTTGTAACAGAAAAACATGACAATTTTCAGCTTGTAAGTAAATATGTACACTTAATAATAAGTAATAAATACGCATGTGAGGCATCGGGAATCAGGAAAAATGTATATTCTATTCTATATCTATAGTTTTGTTTATGTTTTATTCTTGGGTTTTATGTATGTGGTTTAGGCTGCTCCTAGTGTGGGATCACTCATAGCTCCTGCAAAATGGTTTGGCAAAAGCTGTTTCTGCAGGGCCTTTCAATGATGTTTGATTGACATACTGTACAGCCTCAAGGGCACACCACTGTAATTTAATTGCTTCACTGACAACATAGAATACTATATGAACAAGGAAAAGAACATTGAGAGCAACTTATGAATTTCAATATTTCCGTCATGTGTTCATCAGACTGAAATAGAGTCCTGACACCAGCTTGAGTCCAGTCTCAGTTAATAACACATCTAAGCTGGCCTAGGAATATTGAGTGAAGTCATATGGATTCCTTAATTTTCCACAAGTTGTTTGATGTCAGAAAGTAGGCAATAGCTTAAAAGACAAGTATTTCACAATTAATTTAGATATAAAACATGAGGCACACAGATTAATTATTCTAACTGTAAGGAGTTCTTGAAGCCTTACATTCAGAGATTTCCATTAAATACCTAACATTGACTACCCTAATGCACTGCGGGTCCTGTGCAGGTGTGTGCCCACCAGTGGTGCTGTGTTTTTGGTTCCCTATGAGATATGCTGACTCGGGGCTGTGCAGGAGCAGGGTTTGAGGGCACTGGTTTAAACAAATCTGGTTTAAACAAACAAGAATTTCAAACTCTGAATTTCAACACAATTAATTCCACAGATCCCTAAATCCCTTAAATTCATGTCAGTAGATATACTCTTAATTTTGCAGCCAGAGAGGCTTCACAAGAGCAGAGCCAGTACAATCAGCAGCCTAGACATTCATACACCAACTTCCCATCAGTAGTAAATCTAACAATCTAGCCTATGCCTATGAGGAGTTTTTGCTGCTACTTTGATAAATGCAGCACAACTTGTGTGAATTGCAGCACTTATACTTAAATACAAATAAAGCAAGGGAAGTAAAATCTACATTTTCACAACACCGAGTTATCAGGAAGAGCTTTAAAGAAATTACTTTTACAAAAAAACTATATTGATAATTCCATTAGGTGGAAAATTTTAGTACACAAGGTCAATGTTAAAAGAGACTCCGGATTTGTTGAGGCATTTTCAGTAGTTCGTTTTTTTTTACTGCCAATTCCTATGTTCGTGGGGGAATTTACAAGTAATTCTTGATTTTCCACCTGATCTGTCACTTGGGGCTTTTGTCAATTTGGGGAAAATTATTTAAAGCGATAGCAATAACAATTCTGTTTCTCTTTAATACAAAATTACCTGTGAACACTAGATGGCACTAGACTGTAGAGAATTTCTTTTGAAATTAATTTTGTGCATTAGAAAATGCAAAGGTAAAAGTAGTTCTGAATGAAATCTAAACTCTTTTCAGATGAAGTCTGGATTTTCAGTTGTATGTCTTTTGACATATAGTGAATAACAAGGCAATTGAAACTTTTCTGCTTAGGTTTCTTTGTCTTATAACCAAGGCTATTTTGATCTCTATACTGTTTTTTCTAAATGATCACCTATGTGGCCTTGGGCTTTCATGACTTTTAAGTCACTCAGAAAATAAAGGCACCGGTTAAACAAATGATCATGCTGAGTCATCATAAGCTAACAATATTGTGATACATTTTGATGTATGAATAACTGAAGTGTATATATTTAAGTTTGACCCTGCCTGATATGATGATTGGCAATGTGGCTGTGAGCAGATTTGTTTACTTTAAGTATTCAGATGTGCAGGTTTGAATTATTGCGCATTGTTCTGATCTCCAGTTTGGAATGGGTTGATCTTTTTTTTTGTCCTCTTTGGGAAAATGAAACATCTTCATCTGACATCCAGGATCAGTATGAAAAGTAAGGTTAATAAGATTTTGATGGTGTTTCTTAGCAGGACAGTTTGCTAAAGATGTACCAGGTAGCATGAATTTAAAAGATAATTGCACTATATCTGCTGCTGATTGCAAACCTTTTTTTTCTTTCTGTAGTTACATTTTTGTTCTCACTGTACTGTCCAAAGATTGTTGTGTCTTATTGCATTTTATTTTGTGTATATACAGTTGCAAGAAAAAGTTTGTGAACTCTTTGGAATTACCTGGATTTCTGCATTAATTCCTCATTAAAATGTGGCCTGATCCTCAACTAAGTCACAATAATAGACAAACTCAATCTGCTTAAATCAATAACACACAAATAATTGTACTTCTTCTTGTTGGTACTGAACACATCGTTTAAACGTTCACAGTCTAGGTTGGGAAAAAGTATGTGAACCCCTAGGCTAATGACTTCTCCAACAGCTAATTGGAGTCAGGTGTTGGTTACTCAAAGGTTGGTTACTGACAGAGTTTGCTCTTCTCAAGAAAGATGTGTTCGTGTGAACCATGCCCCGGTCAAAAGAAATATCAGAGGACTTTAGAAGAAGAATTGTAGAGATGCATAAAGCTGGAAAAGGCTACAAAAGCATTTCTAAAGGCCTGGGTGTTTATCAATCCACAGTAAGACAAATTGTCTACAAATGGAGGAAATTCAGTACTGTTGCTACTGTCCCTAGGAGTGGGCGTCCTGCAAAGATCACAGCAAGAGTGCAGCGTGCAATGCTGAAGGAGGTGAAAAAGAACCCAAGGGAAACAGCAAAGGACCAGTGTTTTTCTTATCCACTATAAGAAAAACACTGAACAAAAATGGTGTTAATGGAAGGACACCATGGAGGAAACCACTGCTCTCCAAAAAAGACATTGCTGCGCGTCTCAAGTTTGCAAATGACCGCCTGGATGTTCCACAGCTCTTCTGTGACAATGTTCTGTGGATGGATGAGACAAAAGTTGATCTCTTTGGCAGAAACTGCTGTTTGGAGGGAAAAAAAAAGCACTGTACACCAACACCAAAACCTCATCCCAACTGTAAGGCATGGTGGAGGGAGCATCATGGTTTGGGGCTGCTTTGCTGCCTCAGGGCCTGGACAGCTTGCTATCCTAGAGGGAACAATGAATTCAAAATTGTATCAATAAATTTTACAGGAGAATGTCAGGGTAGCGGTCCATCACCTGAAGCTTAGTAGAAGTTGGGTGATGCAACAAGACAATGACCCAAAACACAGGAGTAAATCAACAACAGAATGGCTTAAACAGAAGAAAATGTGTTCTGTAATGGCCAAGTCAGAGTCCAGACCTCATCCCAATTGAGATGCTGTGGCACTACCTGAAGAGAGCTGTTCCCGCAAGGAAAATCAAAATCAGAAATATCAATGAACTGAAACAGTTTTGTAAGGAGTAATGGTAAAAAAAATTCTCTTAACTGTTGTGCAAGTCTCATCAGCCATTTGGTGGAGGTTATTGCCGCTAAAGGAGGTTCTACCAGTGACTAAATACAAGGGTTCACATACTTTTCCAGCCTGTACTGTGAATGTTTAAACGCTGTGTTCAATATTGACAAGAAGAAGTACAATTGTTTGTGCATTATTATTTTATGCAGATTGTGTTTGTCTATTATTGTGACTTACCTGTGGATGCTGCACATTGGTGGTGGTGGAGGGGAGTCCCCATTACCTGTAAAGTGCTTTGAGTGGAGTGTCCAGAAAAGCGCTATATAAGTGTAAGCAATTATTATTATTATTATTATTGTTATTATTACCTGAAGACCAGACCACATTTTTACAAGTAATTAATGCAGAAATCCAGGTAATTCCAAAGGGTTCACAAATGTTTTCTTGCAGCTATATGCATCTTATGTGTTTTCATTGTGCTTTCTATTCTTTTCTGATTCCACCCAACCTTCCTTCCTTCAGTACAAGAACCAAGGAAAAGCAGGTTTACTAAAGTGAAAAAGCCACAGGCTGTCCATAAAGAAGCAGAGGCTGTGTTTAAAAATCCCATTGGTGGAGAGGAATGCAGGCTTTCTGAAGGGTCTACTGAGGGTACTGGATATTCTGATTTACTGTAGTAGTTTGTAGAAATGTGCTGCTGGAACCTGACATTTGCTGGATTTGCTACAAAGGTGTTGTTTCATATTCAATAGTACTATAGCAGACTTTCACTTCTGGTAGCAGGCTAGAGGTCATCTAAAAATCCCTTTGAGATAAAGGGTTATTCAGCTGCTCATAAAAGAAAGGTTTTGAGAAGAGCATAAAGTCCCAGAAACTGTGAAATTATTAAGTACATTTTGAAAGGTTTTGTCCTATTTTTTTAGTCTAAATACCCCAATCTTGGAATTTTCAGTTTTTAAAATGAAAAGGAATTAGTTCAGCTGCACATTATTAGCCTGTATGTAGTTTTATACTGTCCTGAAACATACTGTTTTCTGCTCAATGTTATATTAATATAATATGGCAGAAGTACATTTCTGATATTGACATTTAGCTTCTATAGCATTAGTGTTTGTGTTTTGATTAGGAATTGTTATTAGTGTATGTGGAATAATTTTAATATTGGAATTTATTGTACCATACCTAACACCTGCACCTCTGGTGGCATTGCGAAAGCATCTGATATGCCAAGCACTTACTTTCTTCACTAATGTCACTCAGTGTGAAATCAGCCTCATTTTGGCATGACCATTTCATATTATGAAACTTGGTAAATACTTGTCTTTTTTTGGGACTTTTTTGGTACTAAAGGTGGTCCTCTGTTATATGTTGCCCTGCTATGCATCGCTTCGCACGTACTGTATACCGTTGATGACTTGAAAAACTCAACATAAAAAATTTCCACTCTTATTCCAATTCTCTTTCTCAAGGCACCAAAAGTCAGCAGTGTACAGTAGGTGGTTTGTGGGTTATTGTGTCCTGGAAATGAAAAAATATTGTGAAGTGCAAAATCGAGCATTAATAACTGTTCTTGTAGACAGTGCAGTTACGGTAGACAGTACATGACTTAGATTACGTATTGTTATGCTCCAACATTAAAGTTGAGTTCTTACCACCACACTACTGTCGATCAAAGTGTAATTTCTAACTTTAAATTCATGGACAGTGTGTTTAAAAAGTGTACCCTGTAGCAGCTAATTCTTTTGCTGGTAATGACGAGTTCGCAATTTGAACGGACTTAGTGATGTTATTATTTCCATTTATAGTTTTTATGTGTTATAGACCTATTAAATGTGTATACCAGTGACTGAACTGTATGTTGGGAATAGATCTCAAGCTAATTACATTATTTCTCATGGACATTAATTCCCCTTTATAAGTCTTTTCATAATAAGTTGCATTATTTAAGAAAGTAACCTGCATCCTCTGTACTGTATTTAGTTAGCTACACATTAAACTTACACTTAGTCTAACATTTCCATTAACTCTTATGGGGGAAAAACCTCTTTAAGTCAAACTGCCAATGTTTATGCTCCTATGGTCCTGAAACCTCCATACTGACATTGTTCTTATGTGGAAAAATTCCCCTTAATACAACATTTCACTGTACGTTGTGACTTTCTGGTCTGATTGTAAAATCTGATCTTTACATGTTCCAGATACAGTCTTGTTGGGTTCACATTTTCTAGTATGATGTTCTTTAGATTCTAATGAATGATCACAGAAAGTTACAGAGGGGAATCTGAGACCATTTAAGAATAATAGCAAATTATATGATGGGGGGGTGGGTCACTATTCAGCACAGAAATATTCACATCTTTTTGTTCTTCATTCCTGGCTTTGAAATTAATTAAACATTGACATCCAAGATAATTATATAAGTGAGTGCTATAGAAAGACACATGTTAGAAGATCAGAAGTTGAGAAACTTGTTTTTGAGATTTAAAGGCTTCTCAGTAGTTGACTTGATCATTGATGTCCTGGGTGACATTTCTGTGATGTGTGTAAACCAAGTTTTTATAGTCGCATACCCTTTGACAGGTAACAGAAGAATTTACCACAATCCCAGAAGACAACATGAGTAAAGCCTCACAAATATGATATAATCTTTCAATGTAAAAGACAAGCCAAGTTCTCTGGGGTCTGAGAGATTCCATTTCTTTTTGTCAATAGATATCCCAAATCACATTCTAATTTTTGGGTTCCTTAAATGATGACATCCTCACCATTTAACCATCCATAGCTCTTGAACTACTTAGGGTCCTACTCATTTTCTGTGTACGATATAACATGGTAACACAGTATAAAAAATAAATAAAATCAGTTACGAAATTCATATTTTTCAATATTAAAGATGAATATGAATCAGTTCCTAAGGTGACCATTTTAAATTTGATTACCATTTCTGATTTAGCTGTGTATAAAAAATGAAAATTTATGACAAATTCTTCCTCCACATACAGTAGCAGGTTTCAGGTAGGTTTGAGTTGCACATGCCAAAATTGGGTAGATTTCAAACAGAATGACTTGGTGCTTCCTTTTAAAAAATGAATTGTCCTCCTTTCTGTTTTTGGCCTCTGATTTTTTTTTTCTTTTCTGACCTATCTTTCCTTCCATCTTTGTGTTATGCTTGATTTGCCTACACGTCTTGCATGTAGTTTCATCTAAACCAACACCTAAGGTGCGCAGCAAGGCTCTGGATAAGTTGAATCGGCTGGAACAGCGCTACATTGCTAAAAAGGAAGCCTCTTCCAAGCTACAAGGGGAAAGCAATGACACTGATTCACAGGGCAGTGGAGATGGTAACATTCATCACCTTTTCTGTCTACCCCCTCCCCTTTTCTGTTCTTCAGTTTGTTTGTTTGAATATAGCTTTGCTTTAAATCCAGCTTACTAGAAATGTGTCTAACAAGGAATACCTGTTATGTTTATGGAGTCTCTTCAGAAAAGGAAGGTGCTATGAATTATGGGAATGCACATACTGACTCATCCTTGTTACAGCCATCAGATACCTATGGCTTTTATTGAGTTCATGTACAGTAAGTCAATAAATTAAGTGTGTAGACATTTCAGCTTTTTAACATTGTGAAAGAGGCAGAGCTAACTAATTGCCATACTTCATTGTGGCTTAGTGTTTTTGAAAGACACATTCCCAGTTAAGGGTGCTCCTTATAGGATGCATTCATGCAAGTATTTTAAAAAATACCTGTGCCATCCTGATTTCTTAGAAGTGCACAATGGCGGTCTGTGGCTTCTAATGTCAACATTATATTTGTAGAGCTATATAGGATCCCTGTTGAGCTAAATCTGCTTTCTAGTTTAGCGGAACAACCAGAGCTCAATAGTATTTGTATTTCGATAATACTAGATATTTATCTGCATGCCATTAGCGGGTACATTGCAAATTGAAAGGAATGGGTCGTTGTACTTCATTTGATGCTTGAGTTATTGCGTTTTTATTCTTTGATTTGTGTCTTTTAATGTCACAAATATATACGTATCTGTCATATTTTAAAGTCTCACAAATTTCTTTGATATTTGGCTTTGCATTGAATTAGAACATGAGAAGGTATACGGGCAAGAGAATGTCTTCAGTATTAGTAGTATGTTAATTACATGAATTGAAATGCTGCTGAATACACAGTCTGGTGCAGGAACTACAGTAAGTTGCCTTTGAAATGCAACATATGGCTCACCTGGAGTCGGGGGGGTGGGACAGTGAAGTAACAGGATCTTTAGATATGTGGATCTTGGGTAAAAGCATACAGCCGTAATGTAAAAAAATAGTGTTCTTTATTTTACAGGAGGCTACACTGAATCAAAAGTAAAAAACCAAAAGCCTTGCTCTGTCTGAGCTTTAATTAGACATCTTCTTGTTTTCCTCTCATCATCAAAGGCTTCAAAGCTACCTCCCAGCTTCGCAGAACCTTCACAAATTAAAAGGTCACCTGAGACTTCTCAAAACTCACATCTATCAACGGACTTTTGAATTGGTTGATCCCTTCTCCCTCTGTGAGGCGCAAGGAGAGGTTCTGTTCTCTTCTTCAAGAGCAGAGCCTTCATAGCCCAGACTGGAAACAACAGTTTGCTAGTTTTAACTGTCACTCGACCAATTGTCTTCCATCAATGTGTCATTGAGGATGGCAGGTCATTCCCCTTTGTCTTCTGAGGAATGTGGTTTCAGAGAAGATCCCCAGTAGGTTTATATTTTGTCTAAACCTACTGTACCTCCCAGATGTGAGTGGGAATTGCATATTTAAAATAGCATAAATTAAAGCAAGCTACATAAAAAACAGAAAGGGCCAGTTAAATTTTTACTATTACCAGAAATATGGTCTACGAACTCTACTGTATGTCATTTTAGTAAGCATATACTAAGATCTTGTCTATATGAATTATTTTTCTGAAAAGCTGCCTTAAACAAGAACAACCAAAAAAAGAACAAAATATAGCAGTGTAACTACTGAAATGCTAAAGAGTATAATTGGTCGACTGTGAACTGAAGATATATTTTTTTCCAATTATATTAGTAATCTGTCATGCTTCTTTTTTTACCCTCTTAAAGTGTTTTCTGATGATTTTAATAAAATTCACAATTATTTACTTTTTATTTAGTGTCCAGGGTGTTAATATACAATTTTTGTTATGAAATCTGTTCATTTGGAAATGTACAACAGCCTGTTTCTTTAATATGATTCTACATCTACCTCATGAAAGGTTAAATGAAGAAATAGAAATTTATTATTGCTGTATTTTCCAGAAATACTTCCAAAAAGAATTTGTATTGAAGGTGAGTATGGCCAAGCTCAAAGACCTATTTTTTTTTACCCTCATTTTTTGTACTTAAGCAGTCTAATTCAGGGTGAAAAGCTTGATGACTCATGACTGACAGGTTTTGGGTTGGAGTCCCACAGCTGGAGATTAAATGGGAAATACAGATTTAAATACGCTGCAGGGATTCTCATTTGGTTGGTAAAAAAAACGATTATACAATATTCTGTGATGGCGCCGGCTGGATTCTACATAGTGACTGTATTATTTATTTAGACCAATGATTCAACAGTACAGTGGTAAAAATCAGAACATGGTCAATGCAGTGGTGCTAATTTGTTTTGTGCAGGAATGCTAGGAACAGGAAAGAATTTTCTGAAGTCTGTGAGAAGTTCCCAGCCCATAAAGGAAGAAGATGAGGACCAAAAGGAGAAGAAACCAGGTGATCACCAAGAAACAAATCCTGTATCTTTCAGCAGAGACAGCCTGGAGCCTGAAGGTGAGAAATCAAATTGATCTTGACTACTGTAGTCGGGGAACTTGCTTTAATAAAGTGTGAATAATGCTGTATGTTTTTTCCTATGCTCTGTCATGCAGGCCAACTTTGGGGAGTGACCGGCATATTAACTGATGGACATTTTATTCCAACTTTCCAGCCATAAGCGGTTATAATTTTAATTGATATTACACTACTTTAATAATGAACAATTACTTTATTACAGTACACTGTAATAATCTTATTACAGTATAACATTCAATACTTTAATAATAAGACTGTAGTTCGGGCAAATAATATTTTAAAAATGTACAGAACATAGAACTTTTGGCTTACTTTTTACATCACCAGAATGCTTTTCAGGACCTTTACTGGGTCAGTCAAAGACAGACATTGTAGATGGGCCAGTGTAGGTTTGGTCTTGTGCTTTGAGCAATTGTCTCACAGAAATGTCTCAACTTTGGAGAAAAAAAATATAGGGTTCATTGGCTGAGAAAAGTTGTCATCAGCCTCACAGTGGCATCCTTCACCAGTTGCTTGCCTGGCTGCTCAGTTTAGAGAGAGACAGTCTCATCTAGGCAGTACCTGGGTGGTACAATACTACTTTAATTTTTGGAACAAAAAAGGCTTACTTGTTAAGCACAATTATGTTGAAGATATAATACAGAAAATGGAATTAGAAGTCCATTAGCACTCTCAAATTATGAAATCAGCAAAAAGGAAAAGCTTTAAATATACAGTTGCCCGCTCTTTCTTAATACTAGCTGTATGTATTTCTTTCAACTGTTTTTGTTTGCGACAAAAGAAAGAAAATGACCATATGCTGAAATTTCTTTAGTTTTTACTTTCTAGTGTGAATCGTGATGTGGTAATATAAAATACACATTATGTGTTCTTTCAAGGTTGCTGAGAAATTGAGGGGGAAAAACTGATTCCCTTTGTTGAGGTAGATCTTTACATGCTGTCATTATGTTTGAAAATTCACTTCTTCAAACTAAGTACATTAGTGACATTTTTTATTAAATTACATAACTGTGCAATGAATACAAAGGACTTCTGAGCCTTGATTAATGCAAGAGTTCTGCTTCCATGTGTCTCCTCGAAATTTGAGCAGCTATTCAGTTTTCAGGTGCTATATTCAATGTTTTGATGCTGGTGAACTAATATATTTAGTTGTACTGCACCTGTCTGAATCTGTCATATCATTTTCCGCTCAGTTTAAATTATCACCCTTCTTGTGATGTTGCAGGCATTAGGTGCTGTATAGTGAGGGCTGTGATAATAAACCCATTAACCAAACTATCAAATCCTGTGCAGTATACTTACCTCCTGGTTTATGGGCATTATAGATACTTGAGGATCTAGTATTAATGTGTCATATGAAAATAAAGGCAGAAATAATGTGATCTAAAAATGTAGATGCTATTCAAATTTCTTTATAAATTCTGTTTTATGGTCAGTATATGTTGTAGGGCAAAGGGTAAAGTTTTAAACAAACATTCAAATAAATAAATCTTCAGTTTCTTTTAGCCTTTTGTGTGTCCACTCACCGTTAATGTGCCATCTTTCAAATCATGAAAAGCAAATAAGGTGCTTGTTTGGTTTGCGTTTTGCTGATGAATAGATCTGAGCCTGTTCATCTTGACATTTTTGCTGTAATACAGTGTGTACTCTTGCACTCAGCTTTCTAAAAAAGTGAAAAAATATACAGGATTCTGGTTAGCTAGACCATGAAAAAGAAGGAGTTCAAATAGTGTCATTTTAGTAGCAAGTTCCTAGTTTTTGAACCATAAAAAAACTCTTCTGAATGGCAACTGGATCTGTAAACACATTTTATGATGTATAATATAAATGTCCATTAGAACTGGCATAAAAGAAACAAAATGATAAAAGATGTCCGTGCAGACTGAACCTTACCTTTGTTCCCAATTTATTTGAGAGCATGCCAGACCCTATTTTGAATGAAGAATTTAAACTTGTAGCAGAAATGGTAGATTAAATGTTAAAATGGGGAAGTACTATGAAAATAGTTAGCGTAGCACAGCACGAGAGCTGTCATCTTAGGTATTTACTTACAGTGCCCCCCAGAAGTATTGAGGTAGAAAGAAGTATTTTGTTTTGCAGTCAGTCAATTTGTATTCGTGATTTGAGATTACTATAATATATAAGTCCAATATGGATGAAAGTACCCACAAATGTTGTTTTGTTCATATTGGAATACCATGTGTTCAACACAGCGATTTTAAAGTATTGATATCAGCCGTGTCTTGCAGCTGAGACATTTTTGTTAATCATAAGACGTTTTTCCAATTTGTGTAACCTCACCCTTAGCCATAATGACTCTTACTGAAAAAAGTGGCACAGAACCTAAACGGTCGGAGGAATATGGACACTTCCTAAGGAGCACTTTAAAATTGTGCAGGAAGTTGGTCTCCGTGGTCTCATCATGATTGTGTTTTCAATTCTTCCCCACAAGGTTGACGCAAGGACTAGGGAGTATGTCAAGAAATGTTTTCACTACTGTTCTTCTTGAACACGTTAGTATTGGTACTGGTAGGTGAAGTGTCAGAGTGGAGAAGAGTATCCAGGACTGTCTTCTTTGTCTGTCCTTGGAACATCGACAGACTATTGCTTCTGCCCATTCCGATTTGTTGTGGCTTCTGTCAACGCCAAAACTTCAACAGTGCCCTGTATTTTTTATCCTTTGATTGGGAGATATAAACTCCAGCTGAGAGGAGGACAGGGTTGAGTTTGTCTTCAGGCAAAGTAGTCAAAGTAGCCACCGAACGCCATGCGTTTGCATTTGTAAATTATAAATTAAATTAAATACAACTCCACACCTAATTGCTTAGTAATGAAAAGTTTGTATAACGGGAGTCACAAGAACAGGACTCAGATTCAGGACTCTGAACACAAGTTCAGATTGTCTTTGTTTGTGTACCATTCCAGTAAGAGCCAGCATCATAGACCGAGACTTGTGCAGTCCTACACAGCTTCGCCATCAACTGGGAGGGACCAGCTGTTTCATATCCAAGATTCTCAACTCAACATCTGTATTTATACCATAATTATGGGGCTACAGTCTCAAGGCACAGAAGGCATAGTATCCTGAAGAATTATCGTAAATCCCTTCTACGAACCCACTTACAATAGTATTATTATTCTTTTCTGTAGCCTTATATTTTATTTTAATACCAAGGAATGGGCCCATTGGTTAATTCAACTGAGCCAGTGGAGAAATGAAACCCAACCTAACCCTAACCCTGTTGTTATGTTTTTTTTTTCTTTTTTTATTTCTATTTTTTGTAATTACATTTCAAAACCTATGTTATGTGTAAATTGTAAACCATATGAAATCTAAAAATCAAACTGTTCTGAGGAACTCCCGACCCAGGGTTAGGAAGTGCTGCTTTAGGGTATAGTGAAACAACTAAAACTGTGCAGGGTTTGTAGCTTGTGTTCCAGTTCAGTGTGTAAGTCAAGAAAGAAAGAAAAATGCAAGTAAGAAAATATGATGCAGTAGGATTTGCACTTTGGCTTTTCAGAATCCACAAACATTATCTTAATTTAAGTTCAATGCAAGGTCTGAACTAGCGGTAGTTCATCACAATGGATGTAAAAGCTTAGTTTGTTAGCATTTTCAATGATTGATGATAATGTTAATGGATCTGCTTTATGGCTTTCTCTCTTCAATAGAATCAGTGGTGGCATCGGGACCAGATCAGAGTGCTGCTGGGTTTGGAATGGACACTTTGGATGAGGAGGAAGAAAAAGCGAGATTTTTTGCTAAGCTTGAGAGTGGTGTTTCGTCTACAATTGATTACTCGAAGTTAAACAAAGAGCTGGACTCCACAGGCTCCACTGTTATTGCAACCCTGAGGTACAAGTCCTGGACTATTCCTCTGTGTTCTAAGTTTAGAGAGAAAGCTGGCATGCTGAGCTCCTTTTGGAGTTCTTTAAAATGCTTTTAGCAACAGAATGTTTTCCAGAACAAAAGCAGGTACAGTGGATATAAAAAGTCCACACTTCTTGAAATTGCAGGTTTGTGATGTAAAGCCAGAAATCAAGATTAATCATGTCATATGTTTTTCCATCTTTAATGTGACCTTACAACCAACAAAACTCAAAAGAAAAACAAATAGATAATTATTAGGAAAAAATATTTAAATTAAAAAAACCTGGTTGCATAAGTGTGCACACCCTTTTATAATGGGGGCTGTAGCTGTGTTCGGAGTTAACCAATCACATTCAAAATCATGTTCAAAGGTAAGGAGCATATACCTGCCATCAATGAAAGTGATTCTGATTAACACCAAATAAAAATCAGCTGTTCCTGTAAAATTTCCTTGAAACTTTCATGGTTGCATCCTACTGGGATAGCCATGGTCCGCAAGAAGCCGACAAAGCATCTATAGGATCTAACTGTTGAAAGGTACCGATCAGGAGAGTGGTATAAAAGAATATCAAAGGCATTGGATGTACCATGGAGCACGGTGAAGACTATCATCAATAAGTGGAGAAACTGGCACCATAGGGACAATGCCAAACTTGATGACAGGACAAGGAGAAAACTTATTAGGGAGGCTACCAAGAGGCCTACAGAAACATTAAAGGAGCTGCAGAAATTTCTGGCAGGTACTAGTCACTTCTTGCATGTGACAACAATCTCCCTTATTCTGCACATGTCTGGGCTGTGGGGTAGGGTGGCAAGACGGAAGCCATTTCTCACACAAAAGAACATCCAAGCCCATCTAAATTTTGCAAAAAAAATACATTCTTATGGTCTGATGAGACAAAGGTTTTACTTTTTGTCCTTAATTCTAAAAGATATGTTTGGCGCAAAGACAACACGGCTCATAATCCAAAGAACACCACACCTACTGTGAAGCATGGTGATAGCAGCATCATGTTTTGGGGCTGCTTCTCTTCAGCTGGGATAGGGGCTCTAGTCAAGATAGATGGGAGAATAACTAGCTCCAAATATCAAGATATTTTGGCACAAAACCTGCTGGCCTTCAGAAAGCTGAAGATGAAGAAGAATAACGACCCAAAGCACACATCCAAGTCAACCAAGGAACGGTTTCAGAAAAGGAAGATCAAAGTCTTGGAATGGCTCAGTCAGAGCCCAGACCTCAGTCCCATAGAAAACCTGTGGAATGACCTAAAGAGGGCTGTGCACAGGAGATCCTCTGGCAATTTGAAGGAGCTTGAGCTTTGTTGCAAGGAAGAGTGGGATAAAATTGCAAAGTCCGGGTGTGCAAAGTTGATAGAGACTTATTCACAAAGACTTACTGCTGTAATAAATGCAAAAGGTGCTTCCACAAAATATAAGTGAAGGGGGGGGCAGGTATGCACACTTACTGTATGCAACCAGGGTGTTATAGGTTTTTTTATTTCAATTATTTTTCCTAATAATTATGTTTTTCACTTGAATTTTGTTGGTTGCGAAGTCACATTAAAGATGGAAAACTGACTGACATGATTTATCTTGATTTTTTGATTTACATCACAAAACCTGCAATTTCAATAAGGGTGTCTGGACTTTTTATATCCACTGTATGTTAATCTTGAACTCTGCTTTTTTGAAAATGGAAACTTTACATGGTGTTTGATAAGCACATCATCATGATGATAAATGGCAATTAAACCAGGTTGTATATCTGCTTCTGCTGATTGAGAATCTTGACCCTTTTGATTGATTTCCAGTTTGAGCACAAGGATATCTCAAAAGCACATGCATTGCCACAGTGGAGTGGATCATATTTTAATGTATAGTAAGTCCCGTACTGACTTCTTGCAAACAGGTTTTTACAATCAAGTGCTCTTTAAATAGCACTTTAAAATAGCACTTTTAAAATACCTTTAAAATAGTTTAAAATAGCAATACTTGGAAATACTTGTTTTGTCAGCACAAGAAGAGATCAAAAGTATCAAAACCAAAGTGAATGTGGTCCTGTAATATACGTTAAATGGATATGAAGTTATTGATATTATATTTTATATATGTACTATAATACATATAATATATTGCATATTATGATTATAATGTGTTATAATATCAATTATATTGTTAAACACTGAGTTTAAGTGAAGATAATTTGTATTGAGTCTGAATGAGGTTAAAATGTTGATTCACCTGTCAGGTTCCAAATGGAAAACCTGTACCAAATGACAGTATTTTGTTTTGTGCTTTTGTATAATAGAAAGCAGTACTCAACTACGGGCTTTTAAAATTCTAATTAAAAGTGTAATTTATTGTCAACCATAGTCTACTTTGAATATGTGGATTCTAGTTAATTAAAATTCTACTCTTTTTTCTCCCCATTCCTTCAGTTCTCTTGTCATCTGTAGTTTTAATTGGTAGGTTCTATTTGGTGTTTAAAAAGTCATCATATTCAAGTGCAGTGCAATTGCTGCTGTCCTTTGTGATGACCATTCTTTCAGTATGTGTCAGGCGATTAAAGTTAAAATGTAAAAAGCCTTTAAAATGCTGCAATTTTATTTGCTTTTTGAATAGAAGGTTGATCATCTATTTTAATGATTCCTTTATCACCCTTCAAGTACACAGGTGTTATTTGATAGTTTTTATCTGTTTTTGTTTTTTAAAGCCTAAGTTACTATGTAAATGGGGTATTTCGTACACAAGCATTCTGAGGGTTGTTTAAATATATTTTTCCATAGAAATGGTGAAAAGCTGTTGAGTGAGGAGGAGCACACCAAGGAAGTAAAGGACAATTCTAAAAGTACTCCTGGTAAGAATTTTGGGCAGTACAGCATCATGCAACAAGCTGTTTCTTAAAATGTGTTAAGGGACATTATATTCTAACCGGACAAGCACCTGTTTTCTTTCAGAGTGGTTCATTTTAAGGGCTCCCCTTTTCAGGTTCCACATTTGCTTTTTGCTGTTGTAAATGTTATGAAGCCAACCTAATGTTTTCCAGAGTTTCAAACAACCTTCTCTTTTGTTTATTTTGATATCCTGCTGTTATCAGCAGGCCATTAACATGTCAGTGCTAAAGCCTGTGAGACTTAAACAAGTGACCTTAACGTAATGAAAGTTCAGTACTGTTCCATATGGATAAATAGGGGCCTTTTCAATGACTGGATAGAATGCTCCAATCTCTCTAGAAAGTAAAGGTAACAACACTGGTGTCATTTTTCCATCTGTTTATCCCTTTCCAGTCCACTTTTCCTGGTGTGGGCCATTTCTCGCTGTTATCTTTATTTTCAAAATAGAAAAAAGCTAGTGAATAAAGAATCAGAATACACATTTCTTCAGTTTGCAATACATCAACTTCAGATCTCATTTTCTGCTTCAGTTTCCCCTAATTACAGTGAAGACTTTGAAGATGATACCAGTGAAAAGGAAGGTCATGACCAGGTAAAGTATTTTTCTTGGAGCTATTTTACAGATGCAGTTATCTGTACAGTGTTTCCTAAGAGGGACGACGGTGTTATTTTTTTAAATTTTACAGTTCTATGCAAGTAATCGCTAGTACTGTATGGTTAATTACACATTTGAAAAAGAAACGACTCCTCCTGCAGTAGGATAAGGGACCTCCTGGTGGGCAGTTTTAGTAGCAGCACACACTATAGTTAACGTTGCTAGGATACAGATCATCTCATACATTGTGGACATGAGCTGGATGCTTTTACTCCCCTTTCTGAAATTATCCGATTTTTAAAATAAACATGTTCTTGGACAGTGGAAGAATTAATTGTGAAAAAGAAAATATCAAGGGACCGATTGCTCTTGGGTAAATCTTTTATTTTGATTCTCATCATTCCATTTATATCTAACCAGAACACCTCTGTTTTTTTGGTTTTAGTAACTAGTAGTGTCCATCCAGGCCAGTAAGAATATACATATTGCGCATCAAAAGAAACTTACAGTATCACTCATAGCTGCAACAAGTTCACAACTTTATCAGGAAGTGACAATCCTTTTGTAGCAGGTGTGCTGACTCTTTTATTGAACAGACGTGAAATAGGTAAATTCTGATTAACTTTTGTCATTAACCAGATTGATGAGCAGGTAGTCTGCTGGAAAAGTCACAAGCTAGTAGCACATGTGGCCACTGCCAGAAGCAGTTACAGCTGTATATATCTGAAACATGCTTTGCACCAGATGCACTGTGGGGATTATGTTCCATTCCTCTAATAGATCCTGGACAAGCCTACAGTATGTCTGTTCTAATGGTCTCTTGAGCCCTAAATTGTGCACATCATCCCAGATCATTCCAGAAGTGGTTCATGCAGTTCAGGTCTGGCAAGTAGGGCATTGACATGGAATAACTGATGTTTTCATCTTGAAAGCTGTCGATACACAAGCAGCGGGAGGGCGAGCTGTCATGTCGGGACGAGTCTGCAGGAAAGGCAGCAAGTGAGGATGTACAACCTGATCAGTACAGTGCCGTGCAATCAGGTTCTCATCAGGTAATGCACGAGGAGTTCAGTAGCAGCACTCTTCTAAGGTCTCTCTGTGAGACTCTTCTGAAGTCTCTTCCCAGTAAGCCTCACGCTTCTTGTCTTCTCTGGTTCAGCACTATCTAAAATCTGTTTCCCGGGTAGCAAAGCTCACAAGTCTCAGTAACTCTGTGTCCTGGTACTTTGTAACGTTCTCTGAGGAATGTGGTTCACACAAGGATCTTACCCTACTTATATAGCACTCACGTACTCAAGTGTGATGTCAATGTTAGTGTCAATGAAATGATGCCAAAAACGTTTAATCATTTTCCAAACTCTGTATACTTTTTCTAAAACCATGTAAAGAGTAAGTTTCCATTGACGCTCACTGTGTAGAAAGAAACTGAAGGGTAATGAATTCCAGTACTGCATAGTTCATTCTGTTTATGTATATTGCATTTTTCCTTGCTTTTTTATGAATGTTTTTGTTTTTTTCTTTTCCAGAAATCAGAAGCACCTGCAATGCTGGCAAAAGGTGATTTTTTTTTTTATATTTGAGGAAGCAGATTGAGATAAATTTTGTGGTGTTTTTCACATTACATTTGTTTGTTTTTTACAGAGTAAAATTTTACACACATCATTGTTTTTCAGTGTCTCTGCTTGATTCACTGGAGTCAACAGCTGAGGCTCAGAAGCGCAATATAACAAATGAAAAAGCTGATAAGGAGATGGAAAATACAGAACCCAGAGAGCAGGAAATGACTGGAACTGGTAGGGATGGTTAGAAATAACCTGCCAAGAAAAGCAATTCCTATTAAAGTACTACAGCATCAAGTACCATTCCTTCATTTCAAACTGTTCAGATGCTTCTTTGAAGAATCCGTTGTTTGTTGGAGGGCAGTAGGACAAGTAATCATGTAGGAAATTGGTTCTTTTCTTGTGATAGGCCTTCAAACAGTTAATCACGCTAGGAAATGAACATAGACTTTGAGGGCTTTTAGGTTACCACTTGAGGTGCATTTAATACATCTATAGCATGTATAATCCCTTGTTATATGGGAAAGAAAACATATTTCAATAGCGTACTACCATAGATCAACTAAAGTTTAAGTTATCAATGAAAAATCGAAATATTAAGTAACCCACAGGTTATTTCCTTTCTTTCATTAAGGATATTATCTTTTCTTTCTTAGCAGTTTCATATGGACAGAGTGGTGCCAGTGACATGGAAGCATTGCATGAAGCCTATCGCAAGATAAATTACTCCTTCGGAGACTCGGATGGGTATCACGAAATACCTGAACACCTACAGAAAAAAAATTTCATTGTTCAAACGCTGGAAAGCACAAGAGAAACGGCACCGAATGTCACTACCACGGAATCAGGTGCGAAACGTTTTTCAGGATAATATGTCAGATAAAAATTTATGAGAAGTAATCTGTAGCATTTGCATCTTCCAGTTCCTTTATATTTTGCAATACCAACTTAATTGACAAGGTAGACCAAGGTAAACTTTACAATTGTTTTTGTTCAGGGGACCTCCCACATCTCAGCAATCATCCTCTCTTCTTTGAAGCTGAAAGAGTTTACACTTCTAGTTGTCCACACTTTATCTAAACAGCCATATCACCCTGCAACTCACAACTGGCAACCCACTGAAGCTAAGCAGGTGTGAGCCTGGTCAGTACCTGGATGGGAGACCTCCTGGGAAAAACTAAGGTTGCTGCTGGAAGTGGTGTTAGTGGGGCCAGCAGGGGGCGCTCACCCTGCGGTCCATGTGGGTCCTAATGCCCCAGTATAGTGACGGGGAGAGGCGCCGTCCTTCGGATGAGACGTAAAACCGAGGTCCTGACTCTCTGTGGTCATTAAAAATCCCAGGGCGTTTCTCGAAAAGAGTAGGGGTGTAACCCTGGCGCCCTGGCCAAATTTCCCATTGGCCCTTACCAATCATTGCCTCCTAATAATCCCCATCTATGAATTAGCTTCTTTACTCTGCTCTCCTCCCCACTGATAACTGATGTGTGGTGAGCGTTCTGGCGCACTATGGGTGGATGCTGCACATTGGTGGTGGAGAGGAGTCCCCATTACCTGTAAAGCGCTTTATAAGTGTAAGCAATTATTATTATTATTATTATTATTATTAAACTCTTGGAGACACTTCCTCGTCACCGCCAGCTGTAACAATGTTAATTCCAATTGTCTTTAATTTTCATTTTTCTGATCTCTGTCCAAGCCTGGATAGTCTTTAAATGGATGAGTACACTCATAGGTACTTGCTTTGCTCATAGGCAAAAACACATAAAAGCAACACAAAATTCTCTGTCTCCAGTTCATTACAAATGTTGGTAACAAGACAGAAGCCAGTTGAGTTTAGGTCATTTTTTGATGTGTGTGAATAATTTATGGTGCCAAACGCTACCAACCAACACTTCTTTTTATATAGGCAGAAAAATGCCTATATAAAGAGGCAGAGATCAGAAAAATGAAAATTAAAGACAATTGGAATTAACATTGTTACAGCTGGCGGTGACGAGGAAGTGTCTCCAAGAGTTTAATAATAATAATAATAATAATAATAATTGCTTACACTTATAAAGCGCTTTACAGGTAATGGGGACTCCTCTCCACCACCAATGTGCAGCATCCAGCCATAGTGCGCCAGAACCCATCCAGGTACTGTATTTATTAAATGTATAATGAAGCAGTTATAAGATAAGATCATTTTATTGGCCAGTCTTTTTGAACATTGTCAACAGAAATTAATGCACAATTTAATTTGACTAGACAAGATCACTTTATTGGCCATATACAATTAATTGTTTTAGGAATTTGTCTTTTCACATACCCCAGTTTGTTCTCCATGAGACACACAGACAGGGAGAGAAGCTTGGGGTCAGAGTGCGGGGTCAGCTATTTATATGGCACCCCTGGATATCCTTCAATATCGTTTACAATTTCTATTATAACAAAAATCTTTTAGTGTGTATACTGTATATAGATCATTTTAGAGAGTACTCAGAACAGAAGTGGTGGTTTAATGAGGGATGAGTGTGCTTGTGTGTCCTTCATGTATGAATAACATCCGTACGTTTGGGTCCAGCTGGAAAGATACCATTGGTCCCTGGTGATTTGATTTGAGTACTCCTGGTCCCTGTGCCAAATTGCCTCCGATGTCATTTGATGCCTGCGTTTACCCACCCATACGATAGTTGCAATAGAATCAGTGAAATCAATTTTATGAATCATGGTAAGAATATATTTTTGATTCCAAACTGGTTTTCCTCTGTGTCAGACCTGCCTACTGCGGAAGAACTGATGAAACCCATTGGCGTGGGACCTGGTTTTGCACGTGGGTTTGCGCTGCAGCCAGTCAGGTATGTGTAAAGGACGAGATGTGTTGAAATCACTCATGCTCTCGTCATCACTCTTGTTCCTCTTTCCAGCAATTTCGGACACATTTTATGCATAAATTGGTCACCCCCTAGTGCTGCTTCTGACGGTAGGGGTCGTGTTTTCACAGTGAAAGTGGATGTCTGGCTGAAACCATCGATGAGTTCTCTCATAAAATATCCTTGATGGAACACAAGAACTCAGAGGACAGTATTTTAGATTATTTCTCTGGAGGTCCAAATAAGGAAAACTTCTCTGGGATCTTACGAGCAAGAGAGGATACAAAGACTGTCAAGCAAAGTAAAATTGCTGATGAAGTGGATCATTTAATGAAATATGCTGAAGATTCGAAGGTTAAGAGACTTCCTAGACACTCGTCACCTGTTCTAAATAAAAACAAAACGCAGCAGGTGGGTCAAATCTTTCTCATTTAAGGTATTTGGTATTTTGTTGATAGTTTGCTATTAGTGCAATAATTATACTTTTATGATTAACTTCTTAACTTTTGTGAAGAAATTATCCTTTTAAAAGTAGCACCTGTGTTTATGTACTCTAACACTATACATTTGATTTACTTTTTCATTTGCTCCTATGTGTAAACTTTAAGATGCTTTCTTATGCCTCTGCTTCATCTGCTGGTACTTGAATGTTATCAAGGTGTTTAGTCAATAAAGGTCCAAGTGGAGTAATGAATGGTATGTACTGCCATGCCTTGTAAAGTTATGACAGCCCTGTTATATGAAATATTAATACATTTGGAAAGTTTAATTTTGATATTTAAGATGAAAGTACCAAGGAATCTAGGATAGTTTCTGGGATCCTAGAGCTTTTAGAACTATAAGCTTTATTATCATTATTGGTGATGCTGTTGTTTCAGACTTCCGGGTGTTCTCCTGTTTTATTGGGGAAGTCTTTGATTCCTGGTCCACAAACACCATCAAAACAAATTAAAAGCCCTCAGACAAAAAATAAGAAAACGGTTAGTGGCTCCTCTCAGTCCACAAAGAGTTATGGTTTCAGCAAAAGTAGCTCATCAGTGAAGCAGTCCTCTCCTGCCAGTGAAAGGAAGACCTTAAATCAAGGAATGAAGAGGAATAGTACCAAACACAAATCACCAGCAGATCCAGCTGCAGTCAGGACAAAAGGTAAAATGCTTAGGCCTTCAGTTCAAAGTTACACTAATATGTATGTGACTCTGAAAAGGAGCTAATAAACGAAAAAAAAATGTCTTTGAAGAGGAACCTTTAATCTTTTTTTTTTTTCCTGATATACAGGTGGAGATTCACAGGCTTTGCATCCCACTCAGTCCGGACTGAAAATGAACAATGAGCTAATTGCATCAGTGCAGTCGTTTGCTGCTTTTCTCCAGCAGCAAATTGATAGGAACCCACAAGGCTTTTTGAATTCTCAATTTCAAGCAGTGAGTAAAATGCGTGTTGAAGTTTGTTTATTTACATACTGTAACAGTATTTAAATTTAAGTACAGTTCTTGCCACTCCCATTCTCTTAGACTATTTTAGTTTTCTCTGTGCTTAAAGTCCATGGCCTCTGATTTATTTAACCGCATTTATTTAGATTTTAGTGTTATTATACGTAGCTGAAAATTATATCTACCGTAATACGGCAGGTATACGGCTTACTACAGTATTAGCCTTAAACATTTAAGGCACTTACTGTACCCCTGTTATTTATCTCTACTTACCCAGTGCACTTGATCGACGCACCGGTTGCCTTTTGTGTCTATATAAAAATAAACCATAACACCTGACAACGATTTTGTTTGGTAACTCAGCCTTTTAAGTGCATTCGAAGGTGCCCGCCACTGTTTTGCTTTTTCATTGTCCTTATATTTTCTTGGGGAAATGAAAGTTGGCTTTCAGAGGTTTCATATTTGTTGCATAATCACGAGATTGTACTGTATCATATGTAATGCTGTCACCTTTACAAGATTCAGGCTCCAGAGAGCAGGACAGAGTCGAACATAGAAATATGTCAGTTAAGAAATCAGATAGGAAGGTGATAGGAATACTCTGAGTCATTATTTATAATAAAGGTGCATTAGAGTCTGAAGAAAACCATAAAAGATGTCTTTTTTCACGATGTTGGTCAATAAGGCAGTACATTTTAAAAAGGCTAAGTCTTTTCTCTTTTATTACCATTCTGTGAAAAATACCTCACGTAGGCACCTGTATTGCACCCTCTATGTGTTTTTTGACTGCTGATTCAGGTGCACACAAATTACTCTGGTCTCTTTGACTTCACTGGGTGGCCTGAATTAATTCAGACTTGGGGGAAATGTCACCAAAATGCCAGCCTGATGTTTAGGAGGTTGGAACCCTATCATTGCAAGGCAGAATAGTGGTTGAAACATAACATGGGGTAAAAAAACAGATGATTCTTCCTGGCAGTATGAAGGGAAACATTCATTATTATAAGAAGCAGATACATGCTTTGTTCTGAGCTTTTTTTTCTCTTCCTCATTTTTGGGAATTGCGGTTGCCTTTTCTCTAGTGTACAAGTATAAAATGAAAGTTCATTTATAATGGCTTAGGAAGAAGGACAAGCTGTAAACAACACCAAATTTAAGAAGAAACGCCAAAGGAAACAGCAACTAAATTTCTTCTTTTTAATTTAGGTTTTGTGGGGCCAAATGACCTACATTTGTACCCATTTATATACAGTAACTGTTTTTTTTTATGGAAGCAGTCTGGATGAAACACCTTGCTCGAGGATATATCATCAGTGACTCTCCCATACTGGGATGGTATGAATGTATTCGACAAGATTAATTCATTCTTGTTTTCAAAACAAGCTTAATTGCTGATGACTGACCAGATCATATTTTTTAAATTCTCTACAGCAACAGAATCAAAATCTGTATTTGTTTTCAGTCCAGTAGTCATATCCCCTTGCTCCTCCAGTCCAGATAATACACAGACACATAGACCGCATTCCCAAAAAAAGCTAGAAAATCCCGTTGCTTTATGAATATGAGCGTCCTCCGGTTTGCTACCATGAGGTTTTCGGGGGTTTCTCCTTTGCAGATGGAACATTCTCAAGATCTGGTGCAAGAATTCCCAGGTGCAAAGCATATTTCAAGAGCTCCACAGAGCATGCATAGGGAAATTTCCCTTCTGAAGCATGCAGAAGAAGCACAGGAAAGGTGGAGCTCAGAACACGTCCTTGTGGAAGAACTCAAAGCACAGTTGATACAGAAGGAAAAGGAACTTAAGAACCAAGAAGAGGAACTCAAGTTTGCACACAGCAAGGAAGTATTTAATCTAAAACAGGAAAACTATATCCTACAAACTAAGGTAAATAAGAAAGACTTCTCTTTATGATACTTTTGATTAGCTTGATATAAACCATTTGTAGATTTCTCATGAAACTTTCCTTAGCTCCAGTTTAGTTTTGGTAATGCAGGTAATGCACGTATTATTACTTTTGTTATTTATAACTGAAAGAGCACCACCCACAAGCAGTGCGATTGGCGAACACATTTGGCCATGCCTCTCAGACCACACCTACACCATCGACTTCATTGTAATTTTATTTATTGCACATCTGCAGTCATTGTTTACTTGTCTGCATTGTTAACATTCAAACTATTTACTTGTACATTGTCTACTGTTTTTTTTGTATATTGTCTTGATGCACTGTCTGCATGTACATGTAACATGTACCAGTTACATATGGCAATAAAGTTCAAGTTCACCTACTGGTCCACAAACACCACATACAACAGCTACCTGGTTTCTTTTTTAGATCTTCCATCCCAGTACTGACCAGTAGCTGCAGTGAAACAATCCAAACATAACTTATTTATTTTAAACTGAATTTTATTTTAACCATAATATTACCCAGTGTCCAACCATGCTCCCATTTCCTTCTGGGAGGACCTCCTCAATGACGCTGTATTGGATGAACCTGTTAAAGAATGGATATATGGATAGTACATCATTTTATGATTAATTTGTTGGTAAAATTGTATCTCAGCATCTTTTGTTGTTCTTTTGTTGTTCAACTGTCTGATGATTTTCCATGAATTTCAAAACTGGTGTGTTTGGTGATGAGCATGTTTTGGAGAGGCAAGGAGCAGACATGAAGAGTGATGCCATAAAAGAAAAACCTGCAGTTTGTGATTACTTTCACGTTGTGAGATGTCAGGCAATGCTGATGTAACACTGGGGTATTGCATTAGAACTGAGTTCTAGATTTGTGCAGCACCACTGTAGACTTGGTGTGGATCTTAGCAATCAGATACCTTTACCAGCCATCATTACTCAAAAATGAATTGAAAGACAATGTCACAGTTCATTCCAAGTGATGTGGCCAAACCTCCTCTGCTTATAGGGTCAATACATAAAGTAATGAGCTTCAGCATTAATACATATACAGTACAAGTGAATACATACTGTATTAATAATATCTGATGTGAAGCACACAGTTACCTTCACCTGTAAAAGGCTATTTTATAAATGATTAGAATGTATATTGATTAACAGAGATTTGACATTTGAATCTTTCCATGTTGTCTGTTTCCTCTAATGCTGTTGGCAAATATTGCTGTGAATGTGTCATTTTCTTCTGTAAAATTGTTCAGTTGTAACAATGCTCAATAAAATGAAGTAGCAGACATACTTTATATGGTATTATCTTAGGTTATTCAACTCAGTTATTGAGCAGTGGGTGTTTTAGAAAGGCAGAATGTATTTGACAGAGGTCCGATGACTTCCAGGTTTCATAGAAAAATTTCCTTCTGTGGTCTTCACCTAAGATTCTCCATAGTTCAGCAGATTTGAACAGTCGTCATTGCATATCGCTGAATATGATTCAACTTACATGCTTAACGTGCACAGCATTTGAAATAAAGATGGATTAATCCTCAAATTTAGCTGTAAATCAGTAAAAAGCAAATTACTTGGTGTAAAAAAAACAAAAATTAAATGTCTTTTACCTTTCTTTGCTTCCTCAGAGTTAAGCTGTCACCTTGACAAGCTTCTTTGAGTGGGGGACCAGTGTAGCAGCACTGTCTCGTCCTAGGTCTTAAACGTTTAGTGAACTGAAAGGCACATTACTCTAAGCAGGTTTGGATTCCAGATACAAAATGTTAACAAGCTGCACATTTTATTGTTTTCAGCAAGTATAATGGGGATACACTGAGGGTTATAATCACATTTTAAGGAGCAGGGTAGAGCTTGTCAATCATTGCAGAGCTAAGGATGCTTTGTCTAAGGGGTCCTGCCCCATGTCACAGGGCAAAGAAGGAGAGTCCATACTCGACAGTGATGTTTAAACTGATTAGATGAACTAGCTTACTCGGGGAAAAAGAGGTCTTGGAAGATTTACAGTCCGGAATTATTTTTAATTAGCTTTAATGTGGCCTTTAACGTTTGATTGTATTGCTCAACATTTATAATACCAAACAAGATGACTTTTACCCACTCCTCAGTATGTTGAGAAAAACCGTTACTCTCATTAAGTTTGTGTAGTAATCATTAAACAGTAATCATTTCCATTGCCCTTGCAATGCTGACATACCTGACTTTGACTGTTCTTGTCTTATTTCTTTCTCAGCTGCACAGTGTGGAGGAAGCCAACAACAAGAAGAACTTGATTTTTGCAGGTGCTACTGATCCTGTGACAGAAGACAAGTTAAAACTCATAGAAAAAGAACTGAAGGAACAAGAGATACTTATTCAGGGTTATCATCAGGTATTTTTAACAAACTTTTAAAAAATGTATATCGTTAGAAGTGACATCCTGGAAGACGGAATATCTGAATTTTTTCTCCGTCTTTTAAATCGGCAGCTGAAGTGTTCGGAGAAGCTGTAGAATTGTTCCAGTTAAAGCACACACTACAGTAATTCAAGTTCTGGAGTGCACGTCACTGATTAGATACAGGGCTTAAGATTGAGACATTTTGCTAGGTTTGGTGGAACAGTATTTTTTACTTGCATCCTAAAATATTGTGAGTTTGAGTATTAAATAATATTCAAGCTTAATAAATGCAATCGTATTCACATTAATGCATCGGAGAAATTAATGAGATTTAGTTGAAATCAACAGTGAGTACTGTCACTTTATTCTAATTACTTAACATAATGTGTGCTGCATATATTTGATAATGAAGTGCAATTACGGTTTTGCCTTATCTTAGAAACCAAGTAGTTTATTTACTTTAACTTCTTTTCTGTAATCTGTTTGCTTTTCTTCTTGATTGATTTCAAGGAGAATGAAAAGCTTTACAGACAGGTGAAAGAGCTGCAGAACCAGAACAAACTCAATGAGGACAAAATGTTCAAAGAAAATCAGCGGTTAATGACTGAACTTGCATCGACAAAGTGAGTAAAAAAACACAAGCTAATATTTGTTTTACATTTTTGATAATTCCTTACTAAAATAAAATAAACGAATATGATTGAAATAGAAATGAATGAAAAATGGATCATTAAGGCAGACACAATGGCAGACATTCAGGTTTTATATTCCCCCAATGCAGTGCATGCATTGAAATACCTTCCTGACCTGACAAAATTCTGCCCTGTCTCCACATTCCTTCATAATGGGATGCACATTCTAGTTATAACGCAGCTGTCTCTCAAGGCATTCCTTTGTATTGTCTCATCAGGTTTTAGAGGCCTTTTCTGGCTGACATTTCCAGGCAAGGAGAGGGACAGTGCCTTCGTGCATTTTTTTTCTATTGAAATGTGGGATTCACACAGGGAATTTGATTTATTTAAAAGGGTCTGTTAGAGAGAGGAAATGGAGGAGAAAGAATAGCGATTATGCCAGCAATCACTGTAAAGTACAGTGTCTAAAATTGCAGATCTGAGATCCAACAAGAGAAACCCATTTCCAGCTTTTGTGTTCAAGAACCAGCACTGGGAACCTGCAACAGTGCCCTGAGAAAGTATTCAGACCCTTGCATAGTTTTCACATTCTGTTGCTTAAAAGATTGTAGTAGTCATGACACTTTAATGTAGCAATTAATGTGTTATATACACAACATAATCCACATATTCAAAGCAGCAAGAAAGACGTTAATAGATTATTTTTAAGAAAAATGAAAGACTCATGATTAAATATTCAAACCCTATGCTGTGGCCATCCAAAAACAAAGTGTACAAGGTAATCTTAACGAGCCACACTATTAGTTGAGCATCTGTATGCAGTAGTACTGGTTCTCGTGATTTCAGATTTCAAAACAATTGTCTTTGTCAGGTTCCATGGTCAGGCAAGTAGAGAATAGCAAGCAAAGACTTAACCTTGACAAATAAGGAGCTTTCAAAGTAAGTTAGAGATAAAGTCATTGAAAAGCAAAATCAGGAGAAGGTTACAAAAAATATTGAAGTTGCTGTATATTCCTCTGAACACAGTCTACGTAATCACCAAGAAACACTTGGCATGGAGGAAACTGGTGAGCGTAGTCCCTGTAAGGCCAAGAAGGATATCAGTTCAAGGACTCAGCTGAGAGAAAATGTCCGTGAGTCAGCAATATCCCAGTTACTCCGCAAAGCTGGCCTGTACTTTATGGCAGAGTGTCCATGCTTTACCAAAGCATTAAAGTGATACTGTAAACATGTAGGAAAACATTTTGTGGTCAGACAAGACAAAATTTGGACTTTTTGGTGTAATCTATCACACAGCCAAAACCGCGTACTGTATCTCCCTGTTAAACCATCAAGTTCGTTGGTGACAGCATCATGCTACAGGAATCACTGTCCTCAGCAGGGACTGAAAACTTGTCAGGATTGATTGAAAAACAGATGGAGCAAAGTACAGGCAAATACAATAGGAAAACCTGTTTCAGGCTCCAAAAGGCCCTAAACTGGGGAGGAAATTCACCCTTCAGCAGGACTTTGATCCAAAGCACAAGGCCACTTCTACACTGGAGTGGTTTATGAATAAGGAAGTGAGTGTGAGCCCTGACATGAACCCTAAGATTCAAAATCTGAATAGTTGCTTGAAAATTATAAGCAATCAACAAGCAACTTGAGAGAACCTGAAAAAATCAAGAAGAATAAGCTGACATTGCCCCCAAGCCACTGTGTGAGGCTGGTTGAGACCTGCTGCTGTAACTGCTGCCAAACGTTCTTCCCTTTTCACTTACACAGCCAAATATTTTTTCTGTTTAGTTTTTGATGACATTTCGTGTAACTTATCTTACCCTTAGAAGTTTTTGGTTTGAGCATTCGGGTTTAAAATAAATTTGAAATTAAAAAATCGATATACATAATTTTCTAATTTCACAATATGGGACACCATACGACAAATCTGAATGCTTCTCTTGGTCATGTATAGCAACTGTAGAAATGAGTTTATCTGTATTTCTTCATATAAGGTTGCACTTGTTACAGAGCAGGTAATTTGTCAGTATATTATGACTAAATAGTTTAACGGGCTTTTTTCTTACTACAGTATTCAGAATATTGTTTTTTATGTACAATAATTGTTGGATTTGTCATTATAGAGTTGCAATATTTTACATTATTTTGCAGTATTTTTAATACTACTTTTTGCTCTAAGGCTTAAAAGATATAATTGATTGATAGAAATGTACTTTTTGGGGAACATATATTCTGTATTCAAATGTTCCTCTAAGTGCAGTACCTCTCCATTTACTATAGTTTTAGTGCAGGAGGCTCTTTAAACACTGAGTGCTAATTGTTTTTGAATTGACATTATATCTATATTTTCTTTCTTATTAGGGAACAAATTACCAGAAATAATCTGCAAAAAGTTCCTGACAATGGCAGTGAGCAGAGCAGAGATCACAGCTTCACAGAACTATTAACACAGCTGCGTGCTGCACAGGTACAGTGCACATCTTTTTTTGCTTTTAAAAACAGATTTCTTGTTCATTCCTTTCTGGTATCATTAATAACTTACAGCTATTTTTCTTGACGCCTTGCAGAAAATTGTAGGTTTTGTAGACACTTTTGGTAACATATACACAATTATTTTTATTTCTGATCCCATTATGATTTACTGCCTGCAAGAATATTTTAAAATAATTGAAACAGAAATAGTTTCTATAAGGAAATGTTTTATATTTACCTATACAAAATTAAATTGTTCTTCATATCCTTGCTAAGTTACATGTTTAAATATTTTTCTAAAGCTTTTCTAGTTTGTGTTCAGTTCACCATTTTCCTCTGGGGAGACCAGTAAACATTTTATAAACATTTATGCATTAATTTGTCCTCCATAAGAGCTGTACAGGTCATTCACTTTGCAACCTTTAATGGTTTGACTGAAAACTGCAAGAACGAAAACTGAATGACCAGTTCTAGCTAAAATGCTCTTGTTTTATGAATCACTTAACATTGTGCGATGGCTTAATAACTTTTCAAATTTAGAATAAAATTAAGTTAATTTTTGTTTCAAATGAATAAAGCACACTTTTGTAGAGAAATTTTGTTCCCTTGCTGAAATACAATTGTTGTCAGATGAAAGCTGCATTTTACTTTGGCCTCTTGCTGTGTTAAATCATATCCCTCACATCCTTTCTGAAATGGACTTCAGATAAAGCTGCTGTCTACCACTGAAATCTTTGTTCAACAAAAGACATTAACCCAGCTGGAGCAAGCGAGCTGTGTGTTTCAAACGTGAAGTTTGTTGCTTAAGGTGGCTGCAGTGCTTTGCAGTGCCATAATGGAATGACAGTTCTCTTGGTGTGCATTCGTTTTTGTTTCCTAGTTTTCTAGAACACACTGATGATAAGCTGGTCCTTTTAAAAATAATTGTGTGGTTTTTGTTTTTGCCTCGCAATAAAAGTGCCTCTGAAGTCTTGGCGGTCTTTCACATAGGTCCTCTCTGTTGATTTGCAGGGGGGAGAAGCCAGGCTTATGGAGGAAGTAAGAAGACTAAAACAAGACAAACAGTCATTAGAGCTGGATCTAGAGGTCATGAAAAAGGAAAGGGATCTAGCTAAAGCCCAAGCTGTTTATGTTTCAGGTAAAACCCTTGTGTCTGTGTTGATTTTATCTATGCTTGGGTGGTATCTAAATATTGTTACAAGCTGGGGGGCTTAGACAAATGAAAGGAGTGAAGCTAATGTTTCGCTGATATGGCCGGCAGCCATATCAACCTGCAACTCACAATTGGGAGCCCACTGAAGCTGAGCAGGTGTGAGCCTGGTCAGTACCTGAATGGAAAAACTAAGCTTGCCGCTGGAATAATTGTTAGTAGGGCCAGTATACTGACGGGGACGCTATATTGTACAAAGCTGCAGTTCTTCCGCACCTCTTCAGAGGTCCTGGCTCTCTGTGGTCATTAAAAATCCCAGAGTGTTTCTCAAAAAGAGTAGGGGTGTAACCCCGGCGTCCTGGCCAAATTTCCCATTGGCCTTTACCAATCATGGCCTCCTAATAATCCCCGTCTATGTATTGGTTTCATCACTCTGTTCTCCTTTTCACCGATAGCTGATGTGTGGTGAGCGTTCTGACGCACTATAGCTGCCATCGCATCATCCAGGTGGGGTCTGCACATTGGTGGTGGTGGTGGTGGAGGGGAGACCCCATTACCTGTAAAGCGCTTTAAGTGGAGTGTCCAGAAAAGAACTATATAAATGTAGGGAATTATTTAAATCGGGTCCTGACACCAGCTTGCTTTGCCTGTAGGGAAATACACAGTAACTCTTGGGGGCTTACATGTTCCTGACAGAGTGAACCAGCAGAGTAATAAACAAGACGGGAAGCAAAAGGTGTTAATGCTGCACACAACATATAATACATTTTGTGCAAGTATTTAACAATAATTCTATAATAGTATTTGGCCACAGTCTTAATCTTAATCCTGTAAATGTTGTACAAATACCACTGAGCAAAGGGAATCTCATTTCTTTTTAAAATCAAAGACCCCACTCAGAACCAAGTAACTCCCTAAACAGATGCTAACCAAAGGGGAACTATGCAAAAATGCAAGTGAAATATTTTTCTTCAAAAACATCTCAAAATAGAAAATGAAATAAGAAAATATTCCAAATCTCTAAAGTGAGCTTGAACTCTGTGGTGCTCAGATTACCTGAAAGGTTTCTGTATTCTAGCCTGCAAAAGGGGGCATCCACTCACAGTACAGATTTTTAGATGGCTGGAGTATAAAAGAATAGTCTTTCTTAATACTGCATTGCAAGGCTCATCATTCTACTAAGCCATCCAAATGTGCTTATTGACTCACACACACACTTCAAAGAGTGCTCATTGTCTTGATACCCTGTCACACATAACAACATGCTAAAGGATGCTGAGATGTGTAGATTGTGTAATTTTCTCCTTTAATTGCTTTTATTCAGATGCGGTGTTCTAATTGAAGTTTGAAAGTAATAAAATTACTTAAACCCTTTTTCTTCCTATAGCCTTAGTTTTCTCAAGATGAATACACTACATGAATACACTAAAGATTAATTTCCACTTGGAAATAAAGAGTATCAAAGTTACCAAGACAAATACTTAAGAAAATTGATACTTGGCAAACAATGGGAAAACAAAATGTTTTTAGTGAAGGAGAATTATGGGAGTCCTACTCTTTTTATCTCTGATGTAGCTTTTGATCACCTTTACCTGATGAGAGTGAGCCATGGAAACACATTTTGGATGGTTTTACCCCTGTGCGAGGGGAACAGTTACACTGCTTCTACGGCATTGGGATTAGTTCGCCCATCATTTGTGAGCTTTTACAATTCCATTGTTCTGCCACTGCCTTAAATGGCATTTTCAAACACCCACACTTGAAAATGGTACTGATCAGGATGATGTGTTTTATGCTTTGCTGATTGCTCTGCAATCTTTGTTCCTTCTGAATGAAGGAGATAAAGCTTCCCTGATAAATATTTCAAGTACGCAGTACTCCTCGTGTCATCCATTGCTCTGGCTCATTTACACAGGCAGCTAGAATCTTCATGTAAATTGTGCTTTAGCCTTAATTATACCTGAGGCAAAACATTTTCAGACTTAACACAATTCTGTACTGAGCTAGCAATTAAAGGTATATTCTACCTGTTGACCACTGACATGTTCTTGACATCGGAGGTAATGTTCACACCTTTCAGTATACTCCAAAGTCTTCCAAAGTCTTTAGCTTTCCACAGTTACTAACTTTTGTTTTTGAACAGATTACTGAAAACCACTTGTAATGAAGAATTTCCTCCCTTACGGGAGTTAGCAGACACGCTGAAGGATACAGTCTTACGGGACCATTTATGATCAGTCTGAACGTGAGCACAATTAGGCAAACTGCTTGTTGCATTTTGTTCAGTACTTATTTAATACTAAACACGTAATAACATAACACAGGTCACAGACATGAGGAGAGTGCTTAGATCATCTAGCTTGTTTGTATTTTTTAGTTTTTATTTTTCCAAAGTTCTCATCCAACCTTTTTTGAAAGAAGACGGGGTTTGGGCTTCAAGAACATGGCTGTTTAGCTTGTTTCATACTCCTACAACCCTTCTGTTCTCATTCTGGACGGCTTTTTAGTTTTCAGTGCGCATCCCCGTAGTTTCCATGTGTGTGCTGTGGTTACCGTCTCACTTTCAATGTTTCAGAAGAATTCCACTGGATTGACTTTATTAACACTTTGAAGATTCTGAAATGGGTTCACTGTCTTTTTAGTTTGTGAGAGCAGGACATTCCTTTTAAACCTGGGATTTCAGGCTTATTATTACATTTTACTGTATGTTTTTAACAATATGTCCTGATACTGTTTGCTGTTATTGGTTAAAAGATTAACAAAAGGGGTCTGCATAAATACATATCTTTCTTTTTATTAGCCTCCTGATTAAGAGAAGGATAAGTGTTTCTTTCTGGGTTTTTATTCTGATATTTAAGTTTGATTTAGTTCCTACAGTACACTTGGCCCAGTCTGATTTTTTTCAATGTCTTTTGTAACTTCTTCAGTATTTTCTATCTCATTTTGCGCTATTTTTCTCATATCTCATATGCGCTATTTTCTTATTTAAGTGTTAACTGCAAATGTCACTAGGTTACTAGCTATACCAGAATCTAGATTAGTGGTATAAATTGAGAAGTTGTCATACTACTGACCCTGTGGTACTCCCCTAATTTCATCACCCCAGTCTGACCACCAATTATCTATACTGTCTGCGGCTTTGATACTTCTCTCTTCAATTAGTCATGAAAAGACCTTTGAAATAAGCCGAATAAGCCCCCAAATTCATAAAACAAAAAATAAAATTACTAAAACCGGGAAAGACGTTTTGATACATCCTTTGAAAAGATGTATAAGCCAGGAGAAAGAAATGTCCATTGCAGTCTGAGAAGTGATAATTGTATTAGTACTAAATATGGCCCTGCTGAATCACTGTGTCATAGGCTGTGTGTGTCCATGCAATTGGTAGGTGACAAGACCTTTGAGATGAAGGTTATGGGAGAAAAATACAATCAAGAAATAGCCGATTTAAAGAAGAGATTGCAGTGGTATGCAGAGAACCAGGAACTGCTGGATAAAGACACCATGAGACTCCAAGCAGCAACCTCTGAGATTGAGAAACTGAAAGAGCAGGTACAACAAAAATATCCTAACACTTAAACTAGAGCGCAGTTTAATTTAATAAACAAATGCATAAGAAGTTGCAGCCAGAGGTTATTGTGCACCATTCATCCGATTTTTTTCCATGGCTATTAATTATTATTTGGCAGCAGGGATTATTTGATAAATGCAGGGATTCTTTAATTGCCTAACATCCTTCTCTGAAGGATGACCATGAATAAACATGGAAAGGTTGTTGCTACAGACCAGACTTTCGCTGTCATCATCTAAAAATCATCTACACTTCTGAACTTTGAAAAACCATTAAAAAAACCTTTAAGAGTATAGTTGATTTTTTTGTAAAAGGATGCGGTGGGTAGTAACTTTTTTTTATATGCAGCATGCCCAAATAAAAAGCGGTTAGATTTTTTTTTTTTTGCCCATCACCTTTAAAAAAGGCTATGTAAGAACTTAAAATAACCTGAACTTCTCTGGACAGGTAGAGAAACTTAAGGCTGAAGTTGGAAACCGAAATATTCAGCAACAAAGAAAGATGAAGGAGCGAGTGGGGGATGCAAAGAGAATTCAAGACCTGGAACGACAGGTACTCTTTTAGAAGAAATGACCTCATAAAAATACTCTGCCTTTTCTGTTTTTTATTTCATTCAAAAGCAAAGTAAGGCTCCTATGATTTTCTGTTTAGAGAACAATATTAACATATCGACCTGGCCAAATTGATCAGACTGAAGAACGGTTCATGCTTCGTGACTTTAAATTTAATAATATGCATCTCTTATAATAGATAATACATATTCAGTGGATGGGAAACTGTACCCATGCTTTATTTGTTTGTCTGACTTAATTTTGGTTGTATCCGGAAGAGCTTAAAATTTCTCTGCACTCTCCACATGAAAGGTTTCATCAGTGCACCATTTCTCTCTCTTGTTTACTGGTCTGATCAGTCGTGTTTGATCTCTCCAGGAGAGGACAGCGAGTCATATGAGTCTGAGTAGGTGCCAGACCTTTTCATGAAAATGACTGTGACATTTTCGGTGTGTATCAATAAAACAGACGTTAAACAGTATTTTTGAAAAACACATTGTGAAAACATCCTTCATAGTCTTGTTTTCATGTAATACTTTTAACTGGTTGTTACTCTAATTTGTCTGGCTGGCACTTTTCTGTACATAATATGATGGTGTGGAAATAGAGGGCCTCCCAAGGCCCACCCTTTGTTATTTTGTTGAATTTATTCTCTAATAACTTAATCACTGGTGCCAGTTGAACTTCCGAAATGTATATAGCCCTGGTCAGATTTAGGGATGTAGAAAGCAGTTATCAGAGGATATGAGTGCATTTGATCACAAACGGGGGCATCTCTTTACACACAGGGTTGTGGGAAGTCTGGAACAAGCTATTCAGACATGATTTTGGAGACTATACTGGATGGGATAATTGAATCGGTTAGATACTAACTACTGTACCACAGGGGATAGATGAACCAAAAAGCCACCTCTGGATTCTAACCATTGTTATGTTCTTAAGACTGTCAGTATTTGTGTTTGTACATTCAATTTTCCAATTTGTTTAAACAACATGGAATTGTGATTGTAAATTGTGCTCAAATGTAGATACGATACACATGAAGTTATAAAAGTTATTTAATGTATCTGGTAGTTTCTACAGTTTTACAAAGACAAATTTAATTTGCATATTGTGTGCACATGTGTGAGGGAAATTGGAATGAAAGTGTCGTTTCTGATTCCATTTCTCACAGGTAAAGGAAATGGAGGAGATTATCAGGAGAAGACATCCAAACTCTCTACCTGCACTCATTTATGCAGCGGCCTCAGCAGGAGAAGGTGGAGCAGCAGCAAAGCCTGAAACTGTGACCTTCCTGGAGAAAAGAGTGCAGAGGCTGGAGGCTGAACTGCAAGGCAAAGACGAAGAAGCCAAGAGGAGTCTCCGAGCCATGGAGCAGCAATATCATAAAATAAAGGTACTGAGGAAATTGCTGCTTTTTCCAAAGTTACTTTTCAATGCTGGATTTCTGAAGTGTGGCCTGTTTTTGGGCCATAAATAATTTAATAAATAAAGTGTTAGCATGTCAGTCTGAAAAAGGGGTAGTAGGGTGTAACAAGATGAGATGTACAGTTCCAGAAATAATTCTGGAATTAGAAGAAAGTGGGAATGGAATGTATTGATTCAGTTGCCCCTTGCTCACCTGCCATTCGGCAGGGAGCTGACCCTGGAGATGGAGTGGGTGGCCTTGGAACTGGAATGTTCTGTCCTTCTATTCCAGAAGCAGAAGTGGATGTTACCATGGTAACTCCAGGGCCCCACTAGGGCCATAGGTGAATAGAGAGCTGAGGAGCTTTTGAGTTCCTCAGTGCCCCCTTCCGCCCACCGTAAGAATTCAGTTATGTTCTCCATACACTGGTGTCCTTGAGTCTTTTTAGATATCTCATCCTACAATACATGCACAATATTGTATGGGAGATTTCCTCCCCAGAAGCAATGGAAATTTAAAACTACAGTGGTATCACTGCCTGTACCTAAACGAGGAAGTTGATTACTTTTCTTTTCAGTTTCAGTGAACATCAAATAATACAAAGGAAAAGAAAAAAGATAATTGAACAGAAAACACAAACCAATATGGTGCCAGAAATAATTACAAATCTGAACACATTTATTTGACATGTTTAAATAACTGAATTGTTTTTTTACTTGTTTTTTGAGTTTTTAATAGAAGTTTAGCAACACTGCCTTTCCACCTTATAAGCATTGAAGGAGGCAGTGTATTAAACCTTTTTGTTACTAACAGATAAATTACAAATGAATATTTTTCCTTTTTTTATCTTGCAAAGGCATATAACATAATAGCATCCAACATTCACCTTTAAATGCATAAAAGGACAAAGTTTATCCAAAACTACGTAAAAAATAAATGTGCTCTTTTTCAGCCTTATAGAACACACATCCATCATCCTGTTCATGTTTTAATCTAGAAAACATTCACTAAACAGGGTAAAACCTACAGATGAGTTTTTAACCCTAAATCTAAGCTGTATCTGCCATGAGTTGTCCTGACTAATTTAAGTTAATCTTTTCCAACACTGGATTCCAGATGTACAGGGGGAATGAAGCAGGGTTTATACAGATTACTTATTTGGTTATTTTTGCATTTAAGTGTTTTTTACTTGCAAGATTATTGGTTTTTAGTGTATTATGTAAGGCAGTTTCATAATTATTCGTAGTACTCTATATATTCCAGTTGATATTCACATTTTGTACTGAAACTGAGAAATTGTTATTTTTGTTCTGAAATGTAATTAACAGAATAGTTGTTAACTTTGGGTAATTCTGTAAGGGTGTTATGGATGTATTAGACAATATCACACTTACAAAAAATACAATAATATTTGAAAGTGACATAAAACGTATTCAGGTTCTGTTGAACATTACAATTTGAAATGTATTAAGGAATGTTTTTTGTACCTCTTAATTGCAGTTTAATATACTCCTTTATTGAGTATATGTCTTCTCAGCATACATGTTTTAAGTGTTACAAATTATTTTTTAATGTGATTTATTGGTCCGTTCAGAATGAGAATGGAGATGTACTGTATGTGCCATGATAGACTATATACTTATGAAAGGCATTAAAATAATGGAGATTTATGTTACAGGCTTAATTAAAAAGCGATCTACTGTATGTTGCTCTGAAGGCTGTAATGCATACTGTGACTGCATTTGTGTCTTCCATTGTATTATTTAAGACATTATTGATGCAAGTTACATTTATAGTTTTTCCTGTGCCAATTCTCAAGTAATCAGGATTTTTATATGTTCCGATGTGCCTTGATACACTTTATTCTACATTGCTAATTACTGTAATATAAAGATTGTCAACTGTCATTTTTGTTTAGATCCAGTATGAGCAGAGGATTTCTGAGCTGGAGCAGCTGCTGTCCCATAAACTCATTCCTGAAAGAGAGGAGTCTGATCAATGGGCTGCCGAAGCAGGGGCTTTGGGAGAGGAATTGAAACAATTAAGAGAGGCTTATCAAGCCAAAGAAGATGCTCTCCAAAGAGAAATTGAAACCTTGCAAAACCAGCTTTTACCAACTAAGCAGAAAGTGGCTGAAAACTGTAGGAAAAGTCCCCAGAGACCTGAAAAGCAAGTAGAAGGGACATATAAAATCAAGTTGGACAAGCTCAATCAAGAAGTGGCTGCCAAGAATAAAACAATACAAGAACTTTCGAGAACGGTAGAGAAGCTTCAAAAGGAAAGACGGTCCCTGCTGTCCAGACAGACAGGAGATGGAAAAGTGTGTCCAAGCAAGCTGCACTCTTCCCAAATGAACAAGAACAAGTCCGTCCCCAGGGCTGATAGGAACAGTACTGGGGCAGTTGAGGGTTTTCCTGCCACTTGGGATGAGAAAGACTACCAGCCCCATGCCTTTGCTGGCTCGCATATCTCAGAAGTCCTTCAGGACAATGAGAGGCTGGAGCGGGAAGTGGAAAGGCTTGCATTAGACATGGATCAGCAGAGAGTGAAACTGCAGGCAGCGGTTGCACAGGCTGAGTGTGAGGCCCGAAGGTAAATACAGTAAACTGTACTCGGTAGCGGCCTGTATTTCTCGTATAGACAAGAAGACAATTGAATGTTTTGAAGAAACTCAGAATTCTTTGTTGCCACAACAACAGTATTGAATTTTGGTAATAAAATTTAAAAAGAAATAATTAACAACTGTATTTCTGTGACATTTTGGGGATCTGGGCATTAAAGTAAATATGGGAACTTACCTTTCATAGTGCTTGGGTATAAAAAGATTGACATTTTTATTCCCTCTTATTAACTATCAAATTGAGAAATTTGCCCTAATATGAGCCTAACAGCAGCCTGTTCTGATGTTAAAGAGCACTTTAAAAAAAGCTCTTACTGATATATTAACTAAATTGAATTCCTTTTTCAAGTGCCATTAGAGATTAAGCACACTTCCCTTTATAAGAGCTTTTGCTAGAATCGCTTGGTTAAGAGTTAGCTTTTAAAAAATTAAACTGCTTTTTCTGTTAATTTGAGCTCAGTGGTTGCTGAAGGACCTAGCTAATTTAAATGTAGAAAATCGTCGATCTGGGAATTTTGTCTTTGTTTTTTCTGCGAGAACCTGTCAAGCTGCAGCAGTGAGATTGTAGTTTTATTTCAGGCTGTGCTTCTTACCACCCTATAAATCTAGTGGGTGCCATTGAAATGTCTGCGTCCTGCTGGAAGAGAGGTAAAATCAGGACTGGAATACTCATCTGGCCACTGTTGAGTCATGCTAGGGTAAAAGGAAAGGTTGATGGTAGGGCTGTAATATTATTATGTAACCAGCATTTCGAATGAATAGATTAACAACTCAGTTTCAGAAGATGACATGGATTGACTAGCAATATTCTCCTTCTGAAGGAGCATAGACATAGGAAGAATTATCATCGGCTCAAAATGGGGAAAAAAAGCAATGTACATTCAACTTCACTTTACATATGTTTAAGTTTTTCACTGCATTGAAATTAATGTACAATTAATGATTGTCAATAAATATTGTTGTTCAGTCATTAGGTAATATACATTCACTGTAATTTAAACCATGTGACTGTACCACTCTTATTGTTCACTGACATAGCATGGAGTTTGAGCCTAAATAGCAATTTTTACCCCTTTTCCTACCCAGCCACAAGCCAAACCATATTTTGAAGTGGTTTTAACACCAACCTTAACAACAACGTAACACTGACACTGCTGTCACCTTCAGTGCATCCTGAATTATTCTACATTATTCTCAACTGTAATATGAATGAAGAATACCATACATACAGTACAGTATATACCGAGTTTGACTACTGTTTTATTGAGACAGAAAAGATTAACTCATCTGTGTTATTGTTGTTGTTGTTGTTGTTGTTGTTGTTGTTGTTGTTTTTCCAGACTTTATCCAGGGTTTCTTGATCAATTTTTATGAAGTGGCAACTTTATAGAAATGTGCTTATTGTACAGTTTCAGCATACACATTAAAAGTACCTATAACCCATACAAAATAACCAACAATAAATAGAAATAGTGTCACAAACTCCTTTCCAATTGTGATCTAGTTAAAACCATAAAGGGCATTCAAGATGGATTTTAGTCCATACAGAATGACATGTTTAAAGTTATTGATCAAACCTTAATACATTGGTTAGATCACCGTATTGCATGGTGGTAAGATCCTCAATTAATCAGTAAGAAGTTACATTGGAAACTACATACAGTTTATTGTGGTATCTTATAAGGGTGACAGCCTGTAAACATGAGTCAGTCAAGGTTACCTGAAACAAGTGTGCAGGATAAAAATGCAGAGAATAGACATGTAAATACAGTTTCCAATTATTGTTGGTGGGAATATTTTGTTCAAAGGTAGCTGCGTATCTGAAACTGTAGAAAAATGTTCAAAGCCTGGCACCTGCAGTCACGAAAAGGCTCAATTTCAAAAGTGGAAATAGCAGATTTTGTGTGATGGATATCCCCTTTGCAAAAATCATTTAATTCAGAAAGGAGTATGCTGTGCAGATTTAATTAAGAGACTGCAATGGTTGGCAATAAGAAAACACTTTGAATATTTTGAAATTGGGCAATTTTGTAAACATTAAATAGCATTGTATTTAGACATGATTTAATTATTGACAGATGTTTATTATTCTGTAATGATTTTTTTGTTTATTCTTTCTTTAAAAATATTTGAATGCATTTGACATTTAGCTTTTTTTGTCATGCATGCATTTGTCTGGGCGCCTTCAGCAGTAGCGCATTATTCCTAATGCACAAAGTGACAACTGCAAATGCCAAGAACACTTTTCTCAGAAACTGCTACATTGTTCTGTCACAGAATAAGGTTCCCTTTCTGACTTTATAAGGTCAGAGACATAAATAACATTTATGTTAAAACTGTGATGCTGTTATTAACGGCACTATTTTAATACCAAGTCCAGGACCTGATTTTGTAATCAATTTTAACATTTTATTTAAATAGGACTCTTTTTTTAAGCTGTGTTCAGTTTATATACCAAATATAGCTTTTATTAATAAGCTCTGTTGTAAGTTAATTTAGTTTGTCTTGGTTATTTTGCACAGGACTCAAGAGGAGACTGCGGAATATGTTTCATCATTAAAAGCTGAACACCAGAAAGAGCTTGAGCACCTTGTCACTCATCATGCTTTGGAACATTCTTCTTCTAAAGTTGCTGAACTCTCAAACAAAGTTTCTACACAGGAGGTAGGAGGTTTATGCATTGCCTTATTGTTTTAATTGTTCATCAGACAACATTGGTAATGATTTACTGATGTTTGTTCTCTGCAGAGCACTGTGGCTACAGATGCTTTCTAATATGCCATAAATGGATCTTTTATAATTCTTTTTATGCAGATAATGATCAGACATTTACGTGATCAAGTTAGTGAGTTACAGAAAACCAAAGAGGCTCTTGCTGTTCTACATGTCCGTGAAGAAACTCTGCAAACCCAGGTACCTGATAACGTTTTAAAAAATTATCTTCCTCTCGTGCGGTTGGAAGGTTCAGTAAAACATAAGAAAGCAGTATTCAAATTAAATGTCTACAAAGAACAAGGAGCAAATTTTTTTTTGACTCTGCGTTTTAAGGTTTGCATAAAAGAAGGGATTTTTTTGCATCATAACCAATTTCAGAAATGCCTGCAGTTATTTATTCATTTTATGTTGTAGATGGCAAAGCTTTTGGAAGAACTCCGAGAAGCAAAAGAGGCTCACACACCTGAACTGAAACATTTCTCCGCACTAGAAAGAAAAATTAAGAATATGGAAATAAGGCATTTGCAGAGAGAACAGGAACTCCAACAGGTAACAAAAGCCGTTGATAAGACTGATAAAGGTTACACTGGGATTGTATGAGACTAAAATGTGTGATTGAACAGGGCAGCTGTTTAAGGTGGTTGTGATATGGAGAAGATATTTATTGGTATAATATTTGGGAACAATCGCAATTTAGCCAAGTATGGATTGGATGAATGTACTACATTCCTATTCTAAAAATTCATGACAGTGCTGCTTACCTCTTAAGATGTTATCTTTATATTATCTTTTTGAATTCCATTCAGAGTTGATCGTTAGGCAGCTGCATTATTGTATTGGCGTGATATCGTCAGATCTCTGAAGCCAGGCAAGGCTTGTGCCTATTCAGTGCTCCAATCTTTCAGATAAAACACATTTAAAGGAGGTCCTCACTGCTTTACCATTAAACATATTACACAGCACTGTTCATAACAGTAAGGGTGTTAACCCTGGTGTCCTGCATGAATTCATCCGTGGCTAAACCTCCTAAACCTGAGTAATTTCTCACTTCTCCACCTAATCTGCTCTGTAGTGTAGCTGCTGGCACAGATATGTGTATCCACGTCACCAATTACTGTAGGTTTGAGGCTTCAGCGGCTTGATATAGTGAGGCCCCTCCTATACGCAAAGCACCTTAAGATGAAAAGCACCAAACAGATGGAAGGGATGGTTTTTATGATTGGAGTTAAGAAAGTAGCCTTCAGGACTTGGCTCAAGGTTGCGGCAGAGTCCCGCTCAGTAGTGTTTCCCGTGCTCACTTTCAGATTATTGAGCAGACCCGGCGCATTGTTCATGAGGAGCAGCAGCAAGAAGTGTCCAAGTGGAAGAGGCTTGCACAGCAGAAGACTGGGGAGCTGGAGGCGTTCAGAGTGGAGCTGGACTCGATACTGGACGTGCTGCGGGAACTGCAGAGGCAAGGGGTTGTCATCCCTGCTCCCCACACAGCCGCGCAACGCGTGACCGGGCTGGACTGGAGGACATGATAGAAGAACAGCCAAGGACTGTGGCGTAATTTATTGTACGCAATCAATGTTTTTTTTAAAGTATTTTGTATCGTGTTTTATTGAAACAGCATAAATTATCCATCAAAATAGGCTCAAACAGCTTCTTGTTTTGTTTAGTTCTCCAACAGGTTCCTTTTCAGATGTATAAAGTTCACCTTCCCCTAGAGATCTCTTTTCATTTTAGCTTTGAAACCGTAGGGCCCGTAAGGCCATTTTGTTGTCCAAAATGCCAAGATTTTCAATCCTTCACTTCAGTCTTAAGTGCAGGTAACAAACAGCAAAGGAAAAGCTCTCAATTCTGAATTCCTTTTCTGCCACTGAAATGTTCAGGTTTGATCACACACTCCTCTAATGGGGAAGACTTATCCGTCTGCTGCTAAGGAGGACCATAATTGTGCATGTACTTGGATGTGTTTTATTGAAGAAAATGCTGTGCTGCAGTGATATGTATTATTGGGAAGGTGAGAACATTGTGTCCCTGCTTAACAGATGCTTTCTTGTGTTGGGATGGGAGGGTAAGCAGATCTCATGCCTGTGTTATTTTAGGCAGGGTTCTATTCCACCTGCATTCTGAATTCTTCAATTAAATCCCTTTGCATTTTTTTATTTTTTCTGGTTTCTAGGTTTCTCTGTGGTTTTCAGAAGTAGTTTTTGTTAGAACACTTCTTTTCTTATGGTCTACATTTCTTTCAAATCCCGTTGTATACAGTATTACTGTCCCTTTTAACAAACTTGCACATTCGCAACTTTTGTTTTCCAGTCATTGTTTTACAGCTTGAAATTCTCTTAAACTCCTTTACAGAACTGACTTTGTTATGATCGTGGGTAATTTGGTCTAATGATGAAACTGGTACATTTTGGAACCTGTTGTCTTGTTGCACTTTTGTGGGCTAAGCTTAATATTTGGATTTTTTGAAGGAATTGTCAAAAGGAAGTAATTTGACTTAGAATTCCTGTAGTATTCCAGAAATTAGATGGGTATCCCATCCACGATATTCAGAGTCAGAGTTATCCTTTGTATTTCTAATATACAGTTTACATGGCACAGTATATGCTCAGAATATTATTTTGAAAAGTAATATCTGTGGCCATTTGAATATATTGACTTGATTCCACAGTAATCCATTGAGTTGTCAATATAATTGCCTTGCAGGATTTTGAATATATCCGGGTACCTCATACTCTGCTCTGCTCAACACTAAAAATTTAAAGTTCTTCTGGACTACCATTATAGGACACTCCTTTATCTTTTACAGCTGTCTTTTACATTCTACTCTTAAATATCTGTTTTCTATCACTTTTTCAGTTCTCAATCCAAAGACGTTTCCTTGAATGATTATGGCCTTCAGTTAAAGAAGTAATCCTTTTGTGTGGAAATTCATGATTCAGAAGCCTTCTAAAAATGTTAATACACCGTACTGTGTACTGTTATGTCCATTAGAGCTGTTGCTTATTCAAAGAATTCTTACTGTGTATATAATGTTGTGTATTCCATAACCTTACCTGTAATTGTATTTGAGAACAGGATTTGTTCTAGGCTCCCTGGGAGAAGATTAAGAGTGTGAATGTGTGGGAGGGGGCAGTATCGTTGTTCTGTCAATCTGACCAAAATTGAAAATGACAAAATTAACACTCTAGGTGGCAGTTGGTTTTGTAGTGTTGCTAAAGTACATGGAGTGGGGTTTAAAAAGGAATCCTGCCTTTGAACCAAATTCTTTATTATCTTTTCATTAACTCATTGACCAAGAGCTGTTTAAGTACCAAAGCTGCTCTGAGATCAGCTGGGCCACAGGTCTACAGTCAGAAATAACACTTTGGGAATAAACTCATTGACTCTATTTTGCCGAACTAAAATCCCTCTAATGTCACCTAATCGTTTTGTTAAGAAAATGTTGGTTGCATTTCATTTTAGAATGAAATGGATATGGAATGGTTACTTCAGAAAGTGTTTAATTTAAAAAATCTGTATGTGTACTTTCAGAGTTGTAAATACTGTCCTTAAAACCCCACTTGTTTATCTGTAGGTTGCGAAATTGTACCTTTGGAGTACAGGCAATAACAAGCATGGTTGCCATGGTAAACCTTATTATAAAGCATAATAGCAAAATAATAAATGCAGAGGCACAGTTTATAGCTGAACGTTATTATTCTGTCCTTGTAATGAAACAAAAACAGTACATTTCTATAGACAGAGAAAAACCTGAAATAGCTTAATCTTGTATCACATTTTATTTGGAAAATAGCAATATTTGTCCAAACGCTTACAGAAGGACAAATGCTTTATATCACTAAATCTATAATTGCAGATTTTTGTAATATTTATGAAAAAATAATAGAAATTATCAAAATGTAACTGTTTTTGTACATTCACATACAGTATTATGAATTCTGTTTGGTATTGCAGCAGTGGACTGAAACATACAGTATAATATGATATGTATATCATATTGCAATTTTTCATTTTGCTGCCCATTCTACATGAGTATCAGTTTAAATATTTTTTCTGTCCTATTCTAATTTTGATTACTGCAATTTAGAAATATGAATGCGTTTGTCAGAAGACCTACATATCATTATCGTTTTGTTTTTGTAGACCACAATAGACAGTTGAAATAAATTGATTTATTGAAATTGTCCCAGTTCACACTTGAGTAGATTTGATTCTGACCTACAATACTATGTGTTGGAATGCACTTCACCATCCATATGCTGGATAAAACCAATGAATGAACTTATGATGACTTGAAGTGAATAAAATAAGATGGCCATTAAAAAGTGAGCTTGCCAAGTTTTGGGATTCATTTAAACCAATAGAAATATTATCGAAGTGCATGAAGAATTTTGTGAAGATCACAATCTTTTACATTTGATTTGGCTTGTGTATGATAAATGTATGATAACACATTAGTATCATTATCATATCCAGATACTGCATCACGCATAATGATCCTTCTTTTGTCTTGGTTCGGTTTCATCAGGATACATACAGTAGGTGATTTTGATTTTCTGACTGCTGGGAAAACAACACTGAAATAAAAAAAACCATCTCATTTATCACTACCCTCCAGGAAGTGTATACAGTTCTTTTTCATTCAATTAAAATCTGGGCAATGCTTTATATTAATCTGTTGTGGAATTCACCAAACCATGATTCTTGAAGATAACTTTGTGGAAGTTGCCAGTATAGTTTGGAAATCACAAAAAACTCCTAGAGTTTCTCAGTGCTCATACAGTATATTTAATGAGAACCCGGTCCATGGGGAACATTTCAGTCTCACATCACAGTCTGACATTACACACAAGTGCTGTACAAAAACTGACAGCTATATGACCAGAGAAAAGTCACATTTACCGCGCCCATGGGAACCTCCACTTATACAGCATTATCAGAAAGTATGGTTATGAGGTGGGAAAATTCTGTTATTTTTGTCATTTAAGTAGAACATGTATCTGTCTTCTTTGGTGGGATTTATATATAACCTAGAATAAATAAATATATATGCACTGAGCATTAAAAGGAATGCTTTTAGAAAAATACAATAGATGAATTTTGAATGTTGACTTAAATAGTTTTGGTGTAATTTGTGATGGGAGTTGATTTGGACAAGTGATGAGGTAATGTGATCTCTGGAGTGTCAAGTCTTGTGAAAGAAAAACAGAATGTAACACAAATCGTACAATGTAACATCTGTAACACATACGCTGTACAGTACATCCTTGAGTCGTCATTAGGTCTGTCAGTGATAGGCCAGGATCTGGTTGGTCATGAGTCACAACATCTCACCAAATTTGATGGGAAACTCCGCCCAACTTCCAGTTGCCCATCCTGTCCTGACAGCTTTCCAACAGGTTAACGGACTGTATCCGCATGCTTCTTGTGTAATAGGTGCTATGTTATGTGTTATGGGTGCTCTACTTGCCAGACGTGCACCCCATTGAACATTATAAGTGGCATCAGAGACTAGTGAATTGGTACATGTTTGTTCAGGCTAAACGAGAGGAATTAAGATCACTTTATTGGCCATATACAATTTCTTGCATTAAGGAATTTCTTTTCACATACTCCACCTTGCTCTCCATGAAACACACAGGCAGGGAGAGAGAAGCTTGGGGTCAGAGCACAGGTTCAGGCATTTATATAGCACCCCTGGAGTAGCTGGGGTTAAGGGGCCCAACAGAGTAGGATTCCTCTGCCAGCCAACTGACAACCTACCAGCCACAGGAGCAGATCCTTAGCCACAGAGCCATTTGCAAGATGTTATCTGTGGAATTTCTCTCATATGTACAATTTATATTGCTTCCAACAGTGGCCTCATGTTAATAGCCTGTGACTTTCACAGGAGTCCCTCTGTTCATCAGCTCTCTTGATGACATTTGAATCGATATAATGTAAAAAAAATGTCAGGTCAACTGCTTCAATATTTTGTCACTTTCTTAGTGGTAACATTTTGCCTTTGTTGCAGTTGGGTTTTTTTTTTCCAATGCCCAGTAGATACAGTATACTAAATAAAAATGTTTTTTCTCTTACTTACTCTCAAAACTGCTTATGTAGAATCGTTATTCAAGGAGTGCTGACCACTGTACAATTTATAAAATATATAGACAACATTTGTATCATGGTATTATTTTGCTTCTTATAAGGAAGTGATGCCACATAAACGTGCATGAGCATTTTAAACGTTTAATGCCTTGGCATCATGGTCCTCCACGCTGTTAGATATCGTTTTGGACCAGGTCAGGCATTGCTCTCAGATGTCTACAAGTTTATTTGATGATTTAGTTCAAGCTGTTGGGTCTGGATTCCCCGTCAATATTTATCGGCTGTTCACAGAGCAGTAGGTCGTCATCGCCCAACATGGAGCTGTGCTCTGAGCTGACAAAGTTGGGGATATTGAAGTGGGCCAAGGAGTTCATCTCCTCCCCCAGCTTGTCACCTCCTATTGTTCCCTGAGTTTGATGGCCGCTGTGCTCCAAGCTGGATGCCTTGCTGGTCAGCTTCCCTCTGTCCCCATTGTCCACCTCGTTGATATAGCAGTGGAACAGCGAGCGAGACTCCTCTGTTGCCCGTCGGGACAGGCCCTTGTTGCCCAGGTCCTGGGGACAGTTGATGTCGATTGCACAGCTGGTTATACGATGACGCTTTTCTCCTGGTTCTGAGTTCCTTTGTGGACAAAAAGAGACATGTCAGTTTACATGGAATTACTCCACATCAGCAGCGTCAAATGATCTTGAGTCATTTTTAGTTTTCAGTTCTGTCTGAGTTTCTTAACAAGCTTTTATGTGAGCACAGTTCAAGCATTTTATAGAAGTCTTTGCTTTTGTTGAATATTTAAATAACTAGCAGCAACACATGAGAAAGATAACTTGAATACCTATCCAGAGAAGTGCAGCAATCTAAGATACATCAATGCGTGTGAATTGGGAACTGGAAATGTAAATAAAATAGAAAAAGTAAAGAATAACTTCAATGTACAGCAAAAATCAGTATTGCTTCCACTGCAATTTCAAAACTGTACTGTGACCTAGACACTGACGTATTGCATTAGCGTTTGGATTTTGCAGGGGACGGAAAACTATATGGCTGTCACCACTGCTAAATTATATTCAAAATGGGGGAAGTACAGCACGTCTCATTAGCCTGTTCTTCTCAGTAGCTACAGTAATTGATAAAAGTACAGTATCTCATCTGGCCTTTTCATGAAAGACTGGATATTGGTGGACAGCATCGTCCGTGTTCCCACAATTCTTTGTGCAATAAAGTACAGTTCTCGGTTTTAAATGCATTTTCCCATTGATAAATTTGCCCTTAATGCTTTTAAGGATTTTAAATATTTGAATCATGTTACCTGGTGATCTTTTAAGTCTTCTTTTGTCCTGTCAAAGTGTATTTCATTCTCTCTGAACTGGTTCTTAGTGACCTAAATTGTATTTTAAATGAGGTCATGATTTTAATTCTATTCATTTCTATCATAACATCATGGTTGACTTCTTATTGCTTTCATACCGTGCTTATAGAAAGTCTACATGCCCTTGAACTTTTTTACACATTTTGCTGTATCTGTGGCTCAGAATTTCATACATTTTAATAAGTATTTTTTCTTCTTATCTACACACCGTACTTCAGATGTTTAAGGGGAAGATGTTTTTATTGGGAAAAGGTTATATAAAAATACAAAACTAAAATAATTGGGTAAGTCTCCAACATCCTGACATAATACGTGGTAATAGAATGTTTTCCTCAAGGACCTTTCTGTATTTTTTCATTGAAAGTGAAGTTTCATTTTCACTTCTATCCTGACACATACTCCAGCTTCTGCCAATGATAAATATTCCCAGAACATACTGCTGCTGTGACCGTTGGTTCCACGCGGTCTCATGCCCTCCGCCGCGCCACCCCAACCATTTTGTCCTGCAACACCTGGGGTGCGAACCAGGGTGTCCAGTATAATGCAACAGAGAACCAGCCACATGAGCTAAAGGAGACTTTCCTCAGCCCAGACACCTTGTTCCCAGCTCCCTTGACCGCCCTCAGCAATCATCCACACCGGCACTTTCCCTTGCAACAGAACTCGTTCCATTACTTGTAAATACTGTATATATCCAGTATCATGCTCATTCAAGGCTTCTCTGGAAAATTCTGGGTCACTCGGATGCCATCTTATACCTCCAGAAACCTTATTTACTGCATCTCTTGCAGAAAATACCCAGCTATCTACATTGGTGAAACAGGGAGGAGACTGGGAGAGTTTCGAGGAACTGAGGATCAAAAATCTCTCCAAGCCCATAGTTTCCCATTTCACCTCTAATGGCCATGATCACACTGTTCTCTCCATCTGCATTCTCAAAGAGGGGTTTCGGAATTCCTATCGCAGACCAAAACCAAAATTATCCTGAAACTAGGATCACATCTACCCCCTTCTCTCAATAACAGACTCGTTTCTTTCTAATCCTCTCTATTCATTTGCAGGTTTTGACTTCACATCTCTCTTCACCCCTCTGGACTTCACACCACCTGAGTGTCCACTCCATTTCTCTCCTGCTCCTGCCTCCTCTCCACTCCTGGTTTCTGTTCTCCCATGCTTTATCAACTGCTAGTTTTCCTCTCTCTGCCACATCTGAAGAAGGCTGCACAACTGACTGAAACGTTGTTTCTTTTCTTCTCTTTTCAGCATGGAATAAACCTTTACTTGTTCCTTTGTTAATTACTTTTATTGCTTGTTAAAAGAATACTAATAAGTAAGTTAACCAATGCCTACTTTTTAAGTTCCTTAAAAGTTTGACTATCCCCCAAAATCTTAATAACCAGGTGATCCACTGGTCTATCCATAATTATTGTTTACATAACCTTAAAAGCAACAGAAGTGAATTTTCGTCTGATAAAAATGTTAGTATTCTCCCTCCTCCAGGGATGACAGTTTTTTGGACTACAAATGTGATATTGAATTTTTATTGAAGTGAATAGTTGTATTTAAAATTTGAATGGTCATATTTTCATTGTGTGAAAAGTAAAATGTCAGCAAAAAATTGATAGAAAATTAAACCCCTTGAATCTATACTTGTGAAAGCATCTTTGACAGCCATCACTGCTGTAAGTCTTACTGGATTGCATGCTCCCATAGAGCAGTTTTCATCCCTTCTTTGCACATTTGCTCAAGATCAAGCTAAATGAGGATTGTTTACTCCTTATCTGTACCTTCTGTTTACTGTCCATTAACGAATTCTTTATCCAAGAACATATGTCGTCTTGAGTGCCTACTGTCTGCAGATTGCAAATTAATCTGTTTTGAAGAACTTTATAAAAACCTTCTGAAATTCTAAATATCCTGTATCATATACCCCATATCTAATATTGCTCTTACTCTTATCAAGGTAGTTAAGCAAGACCTTTTCTAAATCCAATTATTATCCTTTAGAATCATTTTGACATACAGATTATCTAGTTAAATTCTAATCACCTAAAGTTGATTAATTTTAAAAGCTACATTTATTTTAATAACCACAAATGTAACTTATTTTCTGTTATTACCTGATTCAAATTAATCACATTTTTTATGGATGGATAAGACATTAGCAATTGTTTTAGTCAGTGGGTACAACATCTGCCTCTACATTCTATTGGTTTTACTATTTTAAGCTAATACACAACATTTTCTTAACACAGTCCCATGCAGGGCTTCCATTTACTTGAGTGCAAGTTTAACAAGCAGGAGTTCTTGACTCAATTATTAATTTATCGTGCCGAGACGAAGCAGCTTACGTTTATACCCATTTATACAGCAGAGCACTTTACTGAAATCATTCCAATAAAGTACCTTGCTCAAGGATATAACAGCTGTTCCCCATCAGGGCCTGATTAAGAGCCGGAACCACTATTCCGCCCTGATGGACAACAGAAATCGAAAGAAGCGAAATTTGTTGACTGGCCTCCTCTTGACTGTACCAAAACAAAATCAGCAGTCCTTGCAGCTCCAGATCGGCTGCATTTCCCTCACAACATTCACAGTGTAAGAACCAGAACCGGGAGGAGGTATTGATCAATGCAGTGTCTTATACCAACAGTAACTGTTCAATGTCAATGATCGTTTGAGAAACTCAGATTGATTTCCTTGTCAGAGGTAAAATGTTGTCAGTCTGAGCTGCTATTAGGATTATTTAATTTATAAGCTATCGGCGAACAATTTCTCCAGTTCACAAATGATTTTAATGATTTCAAATTTTGACACCTTTATACTCTGTTGCATCTTTGTCTTAAAGTTTTTAAAAGTTCTTACAATCTAATAACACCTCAGTGGTCAAAAGGCTTGACTTTTTTGAGAAAATTAGCATTCATTTATATTCTTCTACCATTTCGCTGAGAATGTAGTCAATTTTACTGGCAAAATTGTAAAATTCAAATTTGTATTTTTTTACTCGCTTTTTAAAACATTTTGTCATTCTCATTCTGAGACACTGTTGCTGTTTAATTAATCCATGGGGTTGTCGACCAGGTTTTTCCATGTGCTCAAAGCACTAGTTTCCCAATTCAGCGTACGGGCTTACCTTCTGGCTTCTGACAATATCCAAAATGAGGTCACCATTCGCAAAGATCCACATCTGTAACTGCAGCCTGGGGCAGAAAGGCATTTGCATAGTAGTTTTCTTCTACGAGGATCTCAAAGTGCTTCACATACACTGTATTCAGGCTGCCCACTTCAACTTCATCTGAAGTTGCAGCACACACCTGGCTGAGGGAGGGATACTCATTCTGCACCACATATACTGTAGTAGAAGGGGGGCATTAAAAATACTTTAAATCAAAATAAGGCACCTAAAGGACTACCTTTTTAATCAAGTGTGCTCAGCTGTCTGGGACCAAAGAATTTTACATCAAGATGTTACACAAGACAACCTTTGAGATGTCACAAAATATTATAAACAAACTGGCACCTATCTCACCCTGCAACTCACAACTGGCAGCCCACTGAAGCTCAGCAGGTGTGAGCCTGGTCAGTACCTGGATGGGAGACCTCCGGGGAAAAACTAAGGTTGCTGCTGGAAGAGGTGTTAGTGGGGCCAGCAGGGGGCGCTCACCCTGCGGTCCATGTGGGTCCTAATGCCCCAGTATAGTGATATAAACTATACTGTAAAAAGGTGCCATCCTTCAAATAAGACATACTGTAAAACTGAGGTCCTGACTCTCTGTGGTCATTAAAAATCTCAGGGCATTTCTTGAAAAGAGTAGGGGTGTAACCCCAGCGTCCAGGTCTAATTTTCAATTGGTCTTTTATCAGTCGTGGCCTCCTAATAATCCCCAGCTATGAATTGGCTTCATGACTCTGTTCTCCTCCCCACTGTTAGCTGGTGTGTGGGGAGCAGACTGGTGCACCATGGTTGCCATCACATCATCCAGGTGGATGCTGCACACTGGTGGTGGTGGAGTTACCTGTGCATTACCTGCAAAGCCTTTGAGCAGAAAAGTGCTATATAAATTTTATATTATTAAAATTAGAGTTGTTTTATTAATATAAACGTGGATCATACATTATTACTTTATTATCAGCATTAAAAATGCTTTTTAAGGGAGAGTTCACAGCACCATGGAATGCCAATTTACAGGATATGTGTATATTTACTATTGTGTCGCAAGCTTATCATGGTTTGCAATCAAGTATTATAGATTAT